TATCGAGAGGTCTTTGCCTTTCAAAAAGAGCAATCCGGTGCACAGGCTATGACAGAGCTACTATATGAGTTTAAGGCTCTATGTAAGGAGTCTCGGGAGCAGTATGAGGTCCAACAGGGTCAAATCTTTCTCTTGCAACGCGGTAAGATCGCTCTACGCGCATCATCCTTTGATGACACTAACGATCTCTGACTAGCCTACTCGGATCTGGCACATAAAAACGAGGCTCTGCAGTCATCCCTCTCGCTTAGCAGCACAAATTCTCGAGACTCAACATCTACAACAGTTACCCCAATCGAACTACTCGGGATCTTGGGCGTCTCACCACATACCGCAGCCCATGACCTTGAGATCGTTCTCCAAGAAGGCAGTAGATTTAAATCCTCATACCTCGGACGTGTGCGATGGCTTGCCAAAACCGATGAGTTTACTGAATGGCTTCGGGCCCCACAACCATCACTCCTTCTAGTAGACGGCCGTCTGGATACCAATCCAGCAATAATGGTCACTCCAATGTCACTATTCGTTTCAACATTCATATACAGCCTGATTAGCAGTCCCGACTGTCTACCTCTATTCTTCTTCGCATCACTACACGACGGTCAAGAAGAAGATCCCGAACTCGGCGGCCCGACAGGGATGATGCGAAGTCTCATCACCCAGCTTCTCTTCAGCGACAAGCTTGCCACGCCAAGTCTACAGTTTCTAGGCAGAGGGTTTCTCAACGCCTGTGAGAGCAACAACATCAAAGCGCTCTGTGAGCTATTCCGACGACTCGTTCTGCAGGTTCCTCCAAATTTACAAGTCATCTGCATCCTGGACGGGACAGCCGCATATGAGAATGAGCTAATAACAGGTGAAGAGATCGACTATGTAGCGGCTCTCTTCCAGCGACTCGTCGAGGATTTGGTGGACGCAGATTCCGTGAGGCTGAAGGTGCTTTTTACATTCGCAAATCAAAGTCTGCAGATCTCGGATAGGGTGGATATGTATCCTGATGTCTGGCGGTATGCTTCGCTGGCGGCCGGACATATGGATTATCTGTCTCGGCTGGATTTTAGACAAGAATGGATGGAGTGAATGTTACTGGGAAAAATATTTCGTGTTGCAGTGGAAGCAGATACTTGTAGCGTCCTAAACAGTTTTACCCAAGTTTGTTCTGGGGTCTGCCTTCATCTTCGGCTGTAAAGCATGGGGCTTGTACTTACCGAGCGAGTTACCAAGAAACTATCCCTGTAGACTTAACTGAATTCTTGCGGCCCGAGCCTTAAAGTGGGCAATACCCATTCCTCACACTCACAGCCTAGGCATTCCTGTTCGTGGCATGTGGGCTGAGCTTATATGGAACTGGCTTATTGTGGCTTGATGTGTTTTTGGTGATGCTACGTCATATACAAAATGTATGTGACAGGTTTTCCAGTGCTTGGGGACAGTGATCGTCGATTAATAAAGACATCGTTGTGTGGACGTAACACTTGATGACGCAACTCTGGAGCTTGTCATGGAAATCTTTCCCCAATGGTGGACTTGTGAAGAAGCCAATGTCAATCGTTGTCAGATCGGGGAATTGAGCTGATCGGAATGTCTGATCAGCGTGGAGCATGAGCGGAATGATGACAATACTACCTTGCTGAAAGGTATAGGTCGCAATATGATTTCATAAGGGAGTAGAGAAGATTGATCTGTTAGAAAATGGGAGAATTGGTTAGTCCTGGGAATACGTCAAATCAGAATCCCGACCAATAACTATGCTTTGTTCAAGCCCATGGGCGCCTGTGGGGATGACTTGCATTCCTCGAAGACTCCAAAGCGGAGAATATGTGTGAATCAGAATGCAGATTCATCGCCGAGTGGCTGTCAGCTTACCGAGAGAGGAGGATTACTCTCATCCCTTCGGGAAGAGCTCTCAGCATTGCCTCGAATTTGCAAGGGTAGCACTGCGCGAACCCAGTGCGAGTGAATCGGCATGTTGGTGGTGGCACATAGATTGCGCGAGGTAAGCTGACTTCATCTCGTGTAGGAACGGGTGTTGTAGAACAAAGAGACCCTGGAGCCAGTCCCTGCAGAGAATTCGGGCCACGCGGTGTCCTCGAGTTGGCCGCTGTGTTCTCTTGCGATGTTTGCGGTCCCTCCCATGCTCATAGCTTAGTCATATATAGGGGGTCCAACAAATCGTCGGTCGTCCGTTTGTTTCTTCCTAGATCCTTGCCAGTGCAGCCCCTTGAACGATGGCAACCCGGAGTATGAGGGAGAGAGAATCGGTCCCGAAGCCAATCGGGGGCCTCCGATTGGGAGATCGTTTGGATGCCGTTGGTCACGGGGGGCGCTAACAGCGGGTGTCGTGATGTTTGCTGGTAAATCCGACAAGAATGAATGGCAGCACTGGTTCCATCCGTCCTGGTTGGATAACTGCTGATGACCATGGTTACGAACAGTGTGATCCATCTTTCTGTGACGACTCATTTGTGCTTTGGGTCAGTACCACAGCTAGTTCACTGAATTTGTAGTGCGGGATCCACCCATTTGGGCACTATTGTTCATGATGGCCTGTGCTGTCTCGGATGGTTTCTTGTGTTTCCCATTCACTGGGCAGCATCGGCAAGCTCCGGGGTAAGGCAGCAAAACGGACAGGTCAACTTTTACCTCCCCCTGGGGAATGCAGACCTGCAGGCTGCAGTCAGCGCGGCGCAAGTGAATGAATGAATGAGTGGAACGGGGGGAGCGAGTGGATGAATGGGGGAAGAGGGGAGATGATGTTGCCTGGATGGGGCCTTGCAGGGTCACCTGGACGCGGCCATCTCTTGCCTCAACGACTATTAAGCCCTGCAGGTTGAAGATCTCCGGCGTGTCTTCGCTCCTGCCCTTGCAGCTGATCCCTCCCCCAGTTCCGCCCACCAACCAACGCCCTCTTCAAATACAACAGAATCTCCCCTGACTCGCTTCTTCGCTGGCCTGCCCTCTTCTTACCAGCCATTTATCGCGATCGATTACTTACCTCCTGGAGGATCCCTTTTCCTCCCCACCCCCTGCGTTTGGCGGGCGACCCTGCCCCTCAATTCACCGCCAGACGCGACACTGACAGCATCTACCGGGCAGTGCTGTTGGTACTGACCTCAACATTCTCTCACATGCGAACCTTCTGCCTCGTTGTTCCTTTGATCATGTAGTTGAGTTGGGGCCTTACTTACTTTTCAGCTAGACTGCGGCCTTGGCATCTCTCACCATGGAAAGTCTCCCCAAAGGCTTGCTGACCACGGCAACAAAGGTATCAACGGAGCTGGATGGCGTGGGTCCGGTGAATATTGGTGATGTCGTGCAGCTTTGGAAAGGTGGGTTTGTCCTGCGCCTTCCCCTGTCGCGAATGCAACGTGGCTCATAGCGCAATAGTCTACAGTGCCAATCCATCAGCGCATGATGACGACGTGGGATACAGGCTGGAGAACTTTTTCTGGAGGATATGGGGAAGTCGTTGTCTGAACCATACTCTCTTGGGAACTACGTTGGCCAGTCTGTTCCTACGTATTTCCGAGCCCAACCCGTTTAGTTTGGTGCAGTTGAGCAAGGTGAGGGTTATCGCGGCCTACGTTGGCAGCGATGGGAACATGTGCTAACTTTGACAGGCGACCAAAGCAGCTCAAGCAGCTCAGTCATCCAAGGGGAATCATGAAGGAGGCTCCGGGAGGCCGGCTGGTAACAACGGGAAGGCACCACTTCACCCTATACTCAAGAAGCCCAGAAACGGAAGTTCCAGCGGAGAAACACATAAGACGACTCGTCTGCTGCTAACGGACATTGACGGTCAGAGTACCACTCGCAAACCATCAAACCCCCCTACACCGGTTCCCCCATCAGTGCCTACAATGGGAGACACTGCGCCCCGACAGACGCAAAAAAAGGCGGTTTTCGTGGCTAGCAAGGCAAAAAGTAGCAAGCGTCGGCCTGTGATAATGCGGCGCAAGTCCTCACAGCAGTCGTCTGGTACCAGTTCTACCCTTGCCCATAGTCCACCACCAGACTCACCGCAGCTGACTCTGGAATATACCCCAACCCCACCAATTCAGGAACTTGGCAGTGCGTCAAATACTACCATTGGTGCATGTGAATTGGATGGAACGGAGCCTTTGTCAAGAAGCCATAGCGACTTTCGTCCAGACCTTGCCGTCTCCCCAAGAGACACGAAGACCGAGCTTCCCGGTAAAGGCCTTTTTGCCAAAGACATACTCGAGAAGGGTTCGGTCCAGGGCGAAAAAGCACAAGTTGAAAGACCCCCAGAACTCCCAGAGCTGTTTTTATCTGATTTAAGAGAGCTTCTCGACACGGATCGGCCAGAAGAGGCACATGTTAAGCCGCCACCTCCACGTCGCAGAGCATTTTATGCAGTCGAACCTTCCCTACCTGAACCCAACTTTTTTTCGGCTACTGGATGTCGCCGCTATGATGCGCGATATCTGTCGGCGGAGAACTACGAGCAACCATCTAGCATGAAGCTTGTTGACAAGAACTTCCGAAAGCGATTTTCGGATCGAGTACGCCAGGAACAGGTCCTGGTTTCTTCTCTAGGAACGCCGGGGCCAGAAACTGAACCCAAGACGACACCACCCAAACCAGTACGGGCTGAATCAAGCAGCACTGTCACTAATGCCACACCATCCCCATCCCGGTTCGGGGACTCACACGGAAAGGCGTCCACGGCTCCAAGCTCTGCTGTTCCTTTCCAGCGGCTTTCAAACCATGATGATTCGTTTGCAACTGACAGTCAGGGCAGTACGGACGAGGAAGTGTCTCCAGTGTTGACCAACTTTTCGATGCCACGCAGACAAAGCCAGCTTAGTGTGATGATCGAGCAGAGTAGACAGCATGGGGGAGAAGAGGATCAGCAAGAGACCGAAGAGGTCATTGAAGAGATTAGAGAGTAGTAGAATAAGAGAAAAACGAGTACTGACAGCTCAGCCTGAGCAGAAAGAAAGATGCAATATGCGATACAAGGCCATCTTTTAATATCTCAAGACATTACTCATGCGTCGACGCATGCACTCAGTGCTTAATACAAAATACAATAATTATCCAGCAGTCCTCCTACTAATCTCATGACCCATCTGTTCCTCTTCCTCCCTTTCCCTACCTCATCCCACACCCAATCCCCCCAACAAGCCAGTTCCCACCCAAACCCGCCTAAACCCCCTCCTTCTCCTCCACGCCATCAACCCCAAACACCCCCCTCTGCCCCCTCCACCACCTCATCCCCTTCCACAACGCCGTCCCCACCCACAGCACCAAATCCACCAAATCCACCCAAACCGCACGCCTCATCCTCGTCACCTTACTACTATCCTCATAATCCCCAATATACAACTTCCCAAAGATGCCAAACAGCGTCAACCAAAACACGCACAACACCGCCTCCCACACAAACAGCGGCAGATTCCACCTCTCGCGCATTGCCAACGGCGTCCGCGTCTTCAACACCCAATGCATCATAACCAGGTAGAATAGCGCCGTCCCGCACCCCATCATCCCCGTCACGATGGCGTATACCCAGCGTGCATCTGCCGACTCGGACTTTTCGTGTGCGTGGTGGATGTCGATCCCGTAGAGGATGATGGTGGTTAGACCGAAGACGGCTTGGAGAATGTGTAGGAAGAGCTCCGTGTAGTGCTTTAGACGGGGGCGCCGGGGGATGTTGGAGGCGGGTGGTGGTGGGTAGTCGAGGTTGATTCCGTTGGGGTCTTGGTTGTTGTTGGATTTTTTGGATTTGGAGAAGATGCGTCGGATGAGGCGGAAGGCGAGGAGGTACATTTTTTTTTATGACTGGTCGTGGTTGTTTAGTGGGGAAGGAGAGATGTGTATGTATGTATGTGTGTTATAGTATGTGTCGAGATGGGAGATTATTGCGCCAGCGCAAGATAATATCACGATCAATCACAACAATTATTCAAAGGAATAGTGTGTAGTATGTATGTAGTAGGAAAGTGGTCAATCAAAGAGAGAAGAAGAGAAATGGCAATAGTAGATAGTAGTAGTAAGTATTGATCGTTCACGTCGAAACAATAGACACTGTCTAAACAAAGGAGACTCTCAAAGAAAGAAGAATAGAGAGAGAGAGATAAAGAATAAAGAAAGAATGCTTTCTTCTGCTGCTAGGTTTCCATACCATCCCTTTTGCACTCTCTTTATATAACCGTTAATCCAATACCAAGACATCCAGAACATCTATTTTTATCATCCTCATCGTCAACATCAACATCTTCAGCAGAACCCTAATCCATCCAATTACACACTCGCAAGCTTGGTTCGTGTCGATGGGCTGAAACTGCCATGCCCGTCGGCGGTAACTGTATACTTACTTTTAGAAATGGAGGAACTGATTGACTTGACTGCTGTGTAGGGCGCGCGCCAGTTCATGCAATCATGGTTTCAGGGCTGCAGAGGGACGGTAAATACGTTGATCATGGGGGAAGTGGTGTGTATGGTTGGTGGGCGAAGCGCCGTGCCCTTCTTGGAGTTTAGAAGCTTGGAACGGGGTTGGTCGGCAGGGAGGTTTGGGGTTACGCTTGGCGGCTAGTGGAACGATCAATCTTCAACAGAGCAGAACATGGATTCCTTTCTTTCTTTCTTTCTGTCTTTCTCTCTCATCCCGTCTCTCGTCGTGGGATCTGATCTACATTAGCGCTACGGACTAAAATAGTATCACCAATTTGTCCCATCCCATCCATCCATCCATCCATCCATGTTCTCTCTGCATGCATAATACCGAGACCTCGAACACACCTGATTCTCATCTGTCCGTCCATCCCATCCGCCTCTCATCCAATCATATTCTCCAATATGCATTGATGCTGCTCAACAATTCCAACCTGAACCTGAAATATTCATGTGTGACGCTGACGTGACATTCATCGACCGGAGCGGGGATTCATTCATGCAAGTAATGGGCAAAAAAAAAGCAGAAGGCTAACACAATCATGCAATGGAAAAGAAATGAAAAGAAAAAAATTAATAATTGTGGAAGAAAGTAGGCATGCATTAAATCGAAAACAGTCAAGGAGAAAACCGAAAGGAAGAGTGAGCAACGGCCTATCACCGCTCGCTAGCTCGATAGCCGTTGCTCCATTGTCAGGGCGGCCTTGTCCCGCCGTCCGCTGCACTCTTAGCGCCCGACCCGGCTGCTGCGGCTGGCTTGGGCGGATGTCCTGGTGGTAGTGCATTTTTGAGAGTACCTGGAGGCGCTGGAGGTGGGGTTGGGATCCCTTCGTCCTCGTACTCGTTGCCTAAGTACTCGTCATCATGCACCCCTGGTCCTCCTCCGGTTGAAGAATGATCCACGGACGCTCGGTCGTATCCTTGGTCATAGGCTGCGTGCTGAGCCGCTGCGTGCTTGCTGGCGTTCTTAGTCGCTTTCTTGCCCTTACGGCCCTTCATCTTGGCCTTCTCGAGCAACCGCTTCTTCTCCGCCAATCGTTTCCTTTCCTTGCGGTCCTTGATCTCGTACTGGCGAATGAGAGCCTCGGGCGGGTGCCCAAAGATGCTCTCGTACTCGCAGAACTCGCAGATCCAGATGTCCTCGATGCTGGGCGGGTGGTGAAGGTTGGCATACTGCTGCTGGATCTTGCGTTGGCGCGCGGCCAGAGCGTAGAGGCTACCCGGAGACCGCTTCTTCTTCCTCCCTGTGGTTGCAGGCTCAGTCCCCGCAGTCTGTAGTTGCGGCGGTTGCGAGTGCTGTGACTGTTGAGACGCCCCTGAAGAGTTGGCTTGCGAAGCGGCATTTGGGATCGTCTGGGTGCCTTGTGAATATCCCCGCTGGCTCTGGACAGCTGCAGTGAGAGCACTGGGTGAACGATGCTGTGCGGGGTACGGGTTCTGTGCCTGTAGAGCCATTCCCTTCGACGAGTCCGACTCGCATGTGAAGGTAAACTGAGTCTTGGTCGGCGTAGGCGTTTGTCGTTCGAGCATGCTGACATGACCGGGTCCAGGAGGTGGGGAGAATGCTGAAGCGGCGGCATTTGCAATAGCGGCGGAGATTATGCCCTGGTCTGGCTTCGGGGCGGAGTCACCTAAACGTGCGTAAGCGAAGCCCGAACACTCGGTCAGACACACAACAGAAACATACCTGCTGGTCCCGGGGACGACAACAGGCCATCGCGCCGCGTAGGGGTCCGAGGCCAACTGATGGGAGAATGAAGCGATAAGGAGTTCCTCCCCGTGCTACCACGCTGCGGCTGGCGGCCAAGGCGACCTCGTCCCGCACCGGACATGCCGCTGGAGATGGGAGACGCGGGGCTGCCCGTGCCATAGAAGGTACTCACATGGCTGCCTTCGCCAGCAGTGGAAGGGGACTGAAAAGACGTCGCGAGGCCCATGCTGGAGAACTCTGGAGAGAGGGTGGAGTGGTGACTGCTGAGATTGCCTGGTGTAGGAATTTTGCGCTTCTTCTTGTTGTTGGTGTTCTCAAACGCATCGTACCCATCAGGACCCGCCGAGGAGGACTTCACTAGAGGCCCTTCACTGTTGCTGGGCAGCGTCTGAGGAGGGGCACTGGAGGCGGCAGAGGGGGACAATGACGACCCGCGGAAACCAGCACTTCGACGCACAACTACGGGCCCATCCTCATCACCGCTCTCCAGCTCCACCCCATTCTCATACGGCAAATGGTCACGCTCAGGGCTTTGGTCGCGACCGTCGCTCTGCTGCACATAGACTTTGGTGTCATTTACTATGTCTGCGCTGTCCACAGAGGTTCCGTAGAACAGCTGAGTGGCAGGAGGGGCCGGTGGGAAGAGGATCGAGTCGGCCGCTTCAGAGGACAGGCGAGAGCGGAGGGTACGCTTGGGCAGAGGGCGGATGAGCCTATCCGGGTAGACAGGGGACGGTGTATCTGGGGCCGAATTAAACATCCCATCTGCAGGTGAGCAGTATCAGCAACTGAGCAGCCAGCAGAACCCTGATTTCTAGATCCGCCCAGGAATTCGTGGATCCATCATCGGGGGACAACCCGTCAATTGTACGCACCAACAAGGCCAGACGCTACTTCCCCGGAGGAACAGACATCCTTGGTGAAAGACATACTGAGCGTAGCAGTCATGATGGCAGTTTCTCGGCTCTCTCTCTCAACCTCCACAACCACAGCCGAATGGCGGTTTGCCTCCTTGTAACCCAACCCGGTAAGTTCCCCGGATGGTTCCCTTTGCTTTAATCTAGAGACAACTCTTCCCTCCAATTATTTTGGTTATGATTCCTCGATGGCCAACCTATCCCCAACACGATACTCTATAGCCAGTTCCGTCTGGTCGGCGTGGATACGGAGGGAAGAGGAGGGGGGGTGGAGGAGCAATACGGAGATGACCCTTGACCGCACTGGATTGGCACCCACAAGTCAGTTGTCATGTTCCCAACGCTGGCACCTGGAACCACACAGAGTTTGGAGGGAGACCAGCCACGAGGGCATCCAAGGTCCCCGCCTGTCTCAACAGCCAAAGTTGAACTCATAGGATCCCCGGGACAGAGCAAGGGACTTACGTAGAAGACCATGCACCGATATCGCCCACACAGACTTTTTGACGACTCAACCCGAGGTGTCGGCAAGGAAGGACCGACAATCGAAACCAGTTCAACCCCGGACCACGCAAAAGAGGGACAGGGGAAAAGGGCAGAAACGGGTGTAAAGATAGACGGGCAGCGATAGCCGATCCCGGGGAATTAAACAAGTAAACTAGCAATCAGAAGAGGGGAAGGCAACAGGGGACGAAGATGGCGGAGGGGTGGGAATCGAATGGCTCGTGGATAATAATTAGATGAATAAGTCACTCCCCATAACTAATCCGCTTTCCTTTCTGGGCCGAGCGGATACCTACGGCTGCCTAAGGCTGCCATGTGGTGCCGCTAGTCCCGTTTAGGCCAGAGTGCGCCCCAAAGCCTCAACTATCTACTCCGGAATCGAGTCACTGTCTCTCCTCCTCCGATCGTGGTTCATACACGACGCGGTGCGCGGGCAATCTCTTTTCGGGGGGATACCGCGCATGTTCAGCCCTCCTCATACGATGCGGAATAGTTTTCCTCCCAAATGTGTCTAGCCTGTCCTGCAGTGTCGCATCCTTTATTCCTTCCCTGCAAGGACCTGAGTTCTCCTAACTAAGCTATGTATAATCTGGTCGGCTTGTCCAGGTACACTGCAAATGTTGACCATACGGAGGCTCCGACATGCCTTGCGTCCCTCGTTCCATTAGTCTATCCCATGCCTCTCTTAATATCCGCTTGTCGGTGACTACACGTGCTTTCGCCCGTGGCACTCATCATATCCTCAGCCAGCTCTTGTTCGAAGAAGCCACAATATAACCAGATTTTCTTGCCATATGGCGCCAACTGTGTGAACCGACCCCATAACAGCTCATGGTGAGCTGTATCTTGACCCGTACACCCGAACACACGGCGTAGTCTGGTAGGCTCTGTATGATCGCGGAAGTAGTGGGGTGATACAAAGAGATCGCTATCGCTGATCTGGATCAACCAGAATCTTTTTCTAACCAACACGAAGATGAAGGATGATGTAGGAGCCATGGTGGACTCACGAGTCTGCCACAGTGTGTGTTAGTCAGCAAGGTCTCAAATTTCCGACCTTGTCCCAGTAATGTCCGTGGCGATGGGTACCAGCAGTCGCTTGGGCCATCGTCAGTCGAGATGGGACAACGATCCAAGTAGGATGAAAGAGAGATATAGATTGAGACGAAGAGGACGATCCCAGATTACTGGCCACAAAGCAACGCTGAGAGGTGAGCGGGGTTTGGGGGACAGTATTGGCATGAATGTCATCATCGCATTCCGCTCGGCTTTATCACCGATCGACATTATTGGCGGAGGAGAAGGGAGAGGACGGCTTCACTAGAGTACACGTTAGCGAGAAATGGGTCATCCAATAAATATCGATCAATAAGTCGTGCGAGAAGAGTAAAAGTCGATGAGAACAGCGCGCGCGCGCAGAGACAGAGAGGGGAGAAAGAGAGAGAGAAATAGAGCGGGGAAACGGCCAATGCGCGTTGACCGCAAAGGCGCGCAGCTCGAAACCCGTTCCGGCGGCCGGCCGTCACTCACGCTCTCATTCTGGGTCCGTTTCCCTCTTTCTCGCTCCTCCTCTTCCTTTTTCTCCTCCCCACCAACCCTTTTCCTGCAATTTCACAGACTATGTAGTCCTCGGTCTTCGTTCAAGCTCGCAGGCGCAGTTCTTGGATGTCTTTTCCCCTTTGGTTCCAATTGGCATTCCTCTGTCCTTGACTTGCCGGCTTTTTTCCCTCTGCTGCATCTCTTGTCATCCTTAACCACTTGTCTGAGGCGTGGTCGACTCCCTCAGCTCTCCACCCGTGTGCGACAGCTCGCTCACGGGCAGGCTTCTTCTCCTTGACGTTGTCCACTCTCTTTCTGAACCCCTATCCTATTTTCCCTCCCATCCCTCCATACCTTACGACCGTTTTATTGTCAGAGTTCGGTCGCTCTGCCCTCTCCCCCGCTAATAACCTCCCTCCATTATGACGCCTCGTCGTTCCTCTCGTGCACGCAACCAGCCCTCTCCAGCTATTCTTCAGCATACAAACTCCTCCAGCTCCTCCAATTCCATGGCTCGCGAAAGAAGCACCCGGTCGAATCATAAAATCTCCTCCCCTCAGCGCTCCTCCACCAATCGGTCCCAGTCGATCGACGATGCCGACACAGGCTCGAAAAGTGACTTTCGAGAAACACGCCAGCGACAGCGTGCTCGGGGGGAGGAGGATAATGATCACCATATGAGACTTGAGGATGGTGACGACGATGACGGGGAGGAAGAGGACGAAGAGGAAGAGATTACCCGGTGTCTCTGTGGACAACAGGAGTACCCGGGTCTGCCTCCTTCTCGACGTGACCTAAGTCGGCGCAATGGTTTGCGTGCCAGTATCAAAGATGAGGCATTCAATCTTACCGCAGACGCATCAGACTTGTTGCCAGACGAGATCGGGAGCATGTTCATCCAATGTGATTCGTGCAAAGTCTGGCAGCATGGTGGCTGTGTGGGGATCATGGACGAGGCTATGAGCCCCGATGAGTACTTTTGTGAAGAGTGTCGCAAGGACCTCCATAAAATAATCAGCGAAACAAACGGGTAAGCTGATGCCTTTTCTCTCTCCTCGATCCTTGTTGCGTCTGTTCTTGCTGCCAGAGTTAAATTTTTAAGCTGGTCGCTTGTGTTGTCGTCTCTGGTTATTTGCTATTTCTCAGCATGTGGCATATTCGCTTACGATCTCGCAGATCATACTCGTCTCAGTACCTTCCTGTCGCTCCTCCCCCTTCTACTGCTCCCTCGTCGCGAGAATCGTCGCGGGAAACATCCAGACGAGCCAAGGAACCAAAACCACGACACAATGATCCTACCAATCCTAAGAGACGGTCAACGATGAACAGCCGTGATGCCGCTTATGACGAAGAGGAACAGCTGCGGCGGGCCATCGAAGAGAGCAAAGAGGATAATAAACCAGCTGGTGATGATATTGCGGCCCGGAGGCCCAAGAGAAGTCGCAGTGACAGTGAAGCGTACGTTGAACATTGCTCGTTGAATGTCGCACTGGTGATCACGCTAACACGACAACAGACAAAAACAAGCGACTAAGCGACAGCGCACGAGCTCTCCCTCGCCGGGTGCCGTTTCGAAAAGTAACCCTGCTTCACAGCCTGTCTCGGAGGATGAGTCGAAGAAACCTGCCACCAATGGCGTCCGGCGGCAGAGAGCCGCTTCACGCAGCCAGCGTGATAAGGAAACCAAAGAACCTGAAGAACCCGAAGCAGAGCAGCCAGAGGCTCCACCTCGTAGGAAAAGCCGTTCGGAGCGACAGAAGGGTGATGGTGAGTGGTGCTGCTCATCGTCAATATCATATTATTAGGCTAACTGTCAAAGACGCCGAGTCCGACCATGAAGCAGGATCCCCAACCAAGCCCAATGCGAGCGAACCCGAACCGAAGCAGCCCAGTCCGGAGGAAACGCCTGCCCCTGCCCAAGAAGCTGCACCTTCGCGTCCGTCCACTCGCAAATCCGGCCGCCCGCCTGCACGCCGTGGCGGTCGCATCGGACGGAATCAATATACTCGCGATCGTGACACCAACGGCACCGACTCAACAACACGGTCGCCGCGGCGTGGACAGTCGCATGATCTAGGAGGGGATTCGCCGCGGGTGGGTGTCAACGGGACACACATCAACAGCAGTGAATCGGGCAAGCCCAGCCGGCCCCGCTACGTGAACCAACGAACTACCATGAACGAGATGAAGCGACGGGTGACGGCGATCTTGGAGTTCATTTCACGCATGCAGGTGGAGATGGCCGTCGCAGGGGAGAGCACCACCCCGCCGGGTAATGATGACCGGCCGAACGGGATCACCCGACTTCTGAGCGAGAATCAACTCCTCTCCAGTGCTATCGAGAGCGCCGGCCTGGAAGGCGGTTCAATGCCGCAACCCGCTGCAGAGAAGGATTTTAAGGACCTCAGCAGCGTGGAGATGATGGATGTGTTGACTCGTCATCTCTTGAAGTGGCAGCAGGAGTATGGCAAGTTTGGGGAACGGTGACGGAGCTACAGGCAGATCCGTTTCTCTTTTGGCAACTGCTGGCTCGGAGTTTTTGCTACGCACGATACCCGGTTCGTCTCTTCTGAAAGTGTGGACATGTATATTATGGCTTCTGGAGCATCTTGAGGACAGTGGCGTTACGAGTCTTATGGAAGTACCCTGCTCATCTAGTCGATTTGCTTGGTTGAGGCGTGAATTGGATATGTTAGATGTCGGTTGGAGTTCAGGCGTGCGTATATGCTATATGCCATATGCAGCTGATCACCTGTTATGGTTCTGCATATGGCTTCATTTTTCACATACGGTTAATGTTCATTGTTGTGGATAGTATAATACCATTCTGCTAATCCCTGAGAATACAACAAACTGATTATAAACATGACTATGGCCACACCCTTACCATAATTGAGCTCATTCCCCATCATCAACCACATACACACAACCCACCCTCCATCCCCCTCCCTGCCAATATCCCAGAATAGTCATATTCACCCCCTAACCGCCCTAATCGCCCTCCCCGCCTCAACATAATCAAACTCCCCCATCGTCCTCGAAAACGCCACATCCTGAGGTCCGGGACACCCCCCACCATCACGATACCCCCCAGGACAGAGGAAACTATGCGGGAAGCCTAAATCAAAAGGATACGCGACATCAATATCCTTGACATCATCCGCAGTAAGTTCCAGACTCAACGCCTGCACATTCTCCTCGAGCTGCTCGACCGTTCGCCCGCCGATAATGGGGAAAAGGTAGGGTGTTTTCTGCAACACGTAGGCAATAGCCACGCTCGTCACAGAAACCCCCTCTCCATGACGCTTCGCAACGGTATCCAACACCAACGACACCTGTTCTTCGTGGCCGGTAAGTAGGTGCGAGAAGTTTCGAACTCTCTTCTGAGCAGAGTCCTTGTTGGGGGAGCGGATGTATCCTAGTATCCAGCACATATCATACAATTAGCAACCACACCACATACTACCCAAAGGGAATAAGGGAATAAGGGAAAATACTAACCATTCCCCAACACCCCCCAAACACAAACCCCCATCCCCTCATCCCTACACAACGGAATAACCTCCCTCTCCAAATCCCTACAGGTAGCGCCATACCTACCCTGATAAACACTGAACCCGCGGAGCCCATGCACCCTCGCATACATATTCGCCTTGCTGACCACCCACGCCGGCGCATCACTGATCCCCAGGTAGAGTACCTTCCCCTGCACGACGAGATGGTTGAGCGATTGCATCAATTCCTCCACGTTCGTGGAGTAATCCCACGCGTGCACGTAGAAGATATCGATGTAGGTGGTTTGCAGTCGTCGGAGGGATTCGTCGATGGACACACGCATGGATTTGGTGCCGTTGCCGCCGAAGTTACTTTCTTGAATTGAACCTTTCTGGTGCGGGGGGATGGGTGACAGGGTGTATTTCGTTGCGATGACCATCTCCGAGCGACGGGTGGGAGACCGCGTCGCCATCCATTCGCCGATCCATTCTTCCGATTGCCCTGCTTGGTAGGCGTTTGCGGTGTCGATGAAGTTGCCGCCTAGGGCGTAGAATCTGTCGAGTAGGGTGAAGGCGGAGGATTTGGGGACTGCGCCGAGTCGGTCGCTCCAGGTTGTGCCTAGGGACATGCCGCCGAGTTGGAGGGGGGAGATTCGGATGGAGGAGGTGGGGGAGAGGTGGCGGTGGTGGGAGAGGGGGGATCCATTCTTTGTTGGAGATGGGGGAGTGGTGGTGGTGGTGGTGGTGGCGGGTGAGGACATTGTTGTTGTAGTGTATACTTTGGAGTATAAGAGGGTGTGGATTTGTAGTAGAGTGTGTAGTGTGTAGTAGGATGGTGGAAATATGAGTGATCGAGATATAGTATGAAGTGGATCTTTTATACCTTTTATATTTCCATGATATACGAGTTTTGCTTGTATAGTATAATATTTCAGAGGTGAATATAGTAGCTGCACTCGGTGATAACTGTCTCCGCGGATATCCGGACTTAGGGTTTTGGAGGCCGCAGATACCATCCCTATCTCCATGGCTGAATACCTTCACACACCATGACCATGATATCCCCCATTACATACTCTGCGGACTTATCGCCCAGAAACCGAGTATCTACTTCATAGACCATTTTCATGAGATGTTCCATTCTATACAGCTACTCCGGACTTATCTCTCCAGAAACCGATATTCACTGAATAAGCCCTACCTAGAGTATTAGCTACCTACAGAACCACCTTCCCAGCACCACCCGGCAATTCCACCCGAAACAGCCCAAACGGCCTCTCCCTCTCCTGCCTCCACAGCTGATTCTCCGTAAAATACAAGTATCCCCTCTCCTCAGTCCCATTCCCATTTACCCCAAGACTAACCACGCTCATCGTATCCGTCCACCCCATCCTCGGATCCCTCACAAAGGTCTCCACGCTGCCATTTCCAGGGTACACCACATTAATCGCATTCGACTCGAAGCTCCCCACATAAATCTGTCCGTCCGAGTCGGTCTCATAACCATCACTGACTCCCTTCTGAATTATCTTGGTCACGCACTTTACAGCCTTTGCCCGTCCCTCGGAAGAGTCATCCCGCAAGACAGCAGTAGGAACAGAGTAAATGTCCCGTCCACTGACAACACCAAAGTAGAGCGTTTCGCCATCGGCTGAAAGTGCAATCCCGTCAGTCCCTGTGGAGACATCGACCACGTCGCCCCAGATAAAGGCGCGGAAGTCGGGCTCTGCTTTCGTTATAGATAGCCCGTCCAGCTGTCGCCAGGCTTTGCCGGTGCCGAGGTCGACTACGATCAGGCCGTTGCGGCCCTCTGGGCTGGAGTCGGTTAGGTAGGCAATGCCTTCGCCGGAGGTGTTGGGGAGGGTGGGGCGGAGGTCGAAGCGAACGTCGTTGGGGTACTATTATTCATTATTTGGTTAGATATGTAGTGATAATCTGATAGGAAAGAAGGGGGCATACGGAGTCCGGGTAGACGGCATCCCTGGGAAAGAGAATCGTCTTGAACACTTTATTCGTGGCCAGATCTACCCCGACTAGTTTCGGACCGCCATATGAAGATAGCAGGAGGGTGTTGTTTGCGGTGGTAGCGCGGCCAGTGTCGAGGATCCACAGACGGTCTTTGGCGTCGACCACTACGCTTTGGACGCTGATGAGATGATCTGCGTAGTTGACCGTTGTCTAGGACATATCCATGTTAGACAGACATGTAGTATCATTGGTAGGGGGGAGACAAACTGCCGGCGAAGTAGAGTAATTAACAGCCCCACCAGGAGGGTAGTTAAACTCCGCAGAAGGATACGGCACTTCGGTCGTCGAGTCCGTAAGCTCAGCTACCTGGTAGCGGGTGTTATTGGCGTCCAGGCCCAGAGGGTAGCAGGAGAACATGCGCCCCGTGGAGGATACAGCGATGCCGGTGGGAAACTGGTCATAGTACTGATGGACCAGTTCCAGCGAGGGCCCGTATACTCCGGAATCGTGGGCCAGGCCGTTGACATGGCTGGCTACGAGGAATGGTAGCAGCGGGATGATAGAGATAAGCATTTTGAGTTGGATACATGATTGATACGATTGAGAGGTAACCTGTGGACAATAAATACGCTGTTGCTTGAACGAGGGGTATAATAGTATGACGAGATGTTTACCCAGACAGGTTTAAGCTCCGCACGGGTGGTTGCAGACGCCATGGAAGGAGCAACGAGCTAATTTAGATTAAGATTCTTCAGGGACAGGTCGTGGCCAGTAGGATCAGTCCTCTGGGACATATTAAAGTGGTTTATTCATGATATATTACCAACTAAAGGGTTTTCTAAACAAGATACGATGACGTCGTACGCTCGGGATATATATGATCCACACATATTTGTGACCTTCTGATATTTTACACCCTACCTAGTACAAACACCTGCCCCTACACAAAATCTACTAGCACAATACTAATCATCCCCGTGAACCTGCTCGTATAAAAGTTTTCCAATAACCATAACAGACGCATTCGTTTTGATAGAACTTACAAGCCACTGTAGCATCCCTGGGTGTGTAAGCTACTAACAAAAACCACACGACTTCCACAATACTCATCCTATTCCGAGACCGAGTCGAGTAGAGAAATGACCACAGGAGGTTACTCACGTAACAAGACGCCTGGATATTTCCATCCTAGCACTAAGCCCGAGTCAGTCAGTCAGTCATCCACCTTCCTTCCATCATCGATCACGATATAGCCAAATGAACGAACGACCTACGCCCAGTAAACACATACTAAATTAGTTCTACTTGGTACCTGTCATCCTATGGACCAAGGTTAACGTCAACTTGTGGTTGGTCGTATCATGCTGACTGATAATATTTAACGAACAAAGATATATATCGACCTAGTATATATTATATATATTACCCTACTGAACTGGTAGAGATAGCGGTTATTAGTTTAATAACATATATACGGAGTACTGATAGTAGTGATACACATATTGCGCTTTATTTGCAATTGCTATGTAATTGAGAGAGGGGACGTACAACATATAAGGTGTAGGAGGGTGCTTGGAGTGACCGGGGTGTAATTTGGCATCATGGGATTTGAGACAAAGAGGATAAATGGGATTACAGTGTCATCGTGAAAGAGTAAAATGACATCTGCTGGTAGAGTATCAGTGAGAGTTACTTTCTGTCCTGGAATGGATGTGACAGAACCTACGCTGCAGCGGAATGTGTCAAACTACATTAAGCTTACTGCAAATCATGTATACAAACAGCATAAGCTACATCCATTATCCTAAGTACAACAAGGCCATGCCAATACATCATTTTCAAGAGGCCATTCCATCATTGCATAATCCATCAGATACAAAAAGCTCGAAGGTCAGGTCATGTCATAAGGATCGTCGAGAAAAGTTTCTCACCCAGTTGCCCGGCAACCTTATTCGGGAAGGTATCCCGTGGATCATACCCGGCGGAACAAACCAGCGGGTACAACACGGGAGCTAAACCGAATGGGGAAGGTGGATGTTGTGGGCTTACAGGCGGGAAGCGTGGACCACCTTGTAGTCGACGACCAGCTCGCGACCACCATCGTTGATGACCAGGGCGCGGACGCTGCCACGGCCATCCTCGAAGGCCTCGCGGATGCGGCGGAACAGGTGACCCTGGGGCACCACGGGCAGACCCTGCTTGACATCACCGGTCTCGGTCATGGCGACCAGGCGGCCGTCATCACGGAGGTCCAGGATGCGGTAGGTCTTGTAGACAGGGCCGAGCATGGTCTGGACCACGACGGAAGGAGAGGGGTTGGAGACGAAGCTGGACTCCTCCTGGAGTTCACGGGTGAACAGGTCGACACCCAGGTAGCGGTGCTGGCCGGTCTGGGGGGAGACCGAGATGCGGATCACCTGGCAGGGACGGCCCTGAAGGATCAGGATGTCGCCGATGCGGATGAAGTGGCAGGGAATCGGCACGGTCTCGGCGGTCGAGGAGCTGCCACCGGCACGGGGCTCAACGATACGGACATCCTCGCGGACGCCTTCACGGAAACGAACTGGACCGCCTTCGTCAGCGACGACTACGTCCTGGCGGTCGTGGTGACCGTGAGGGTGCATGATGCGGTCGGCAGCGCGCTCCACACCACGACGGAAGGAGTGATAGTTACCGTCGTCGTCGTAGTAACCCATCTTGCGAGAAGGAGGGGAATCAATGACAGTCTTGGTCTTGAGAACCTTCACAGAGTTCGAGCTGCTAGGAGACTCGGGAACCGGCTCAACGTTCTGTTGACGGCGGCTGTAGGGGTCGCGGGGGTAGGAGTCGACAGGCTTAGACTGGTAAGCACGGTCGTACGAGACGTCAAACTCGGACTGCTTGAACTGGCGGTCGTACGAAACGTCCCTAGACTGCTGGCGAGGACCAGAGAAGGAATCTACCGAAGCTTGAGAGCGGCGGTCGTACGAAGAGGCAGGAACGTCGTAGGTAGGATTATTAACCCGACGACGATACTCGCGCTCAGTGATGTCAAGCTGGTTCTGGAGAGCCTGATCGTAGGTGGGTTGACGGTCTTGGAAACGGACCGACGGTTCACGATAACTATGGGTGCGTCAGAGAAGAGGAACTAATGCAATAGTCATGTATGAAGGGGCGGGTGGAGGTCCAATGGGGTAATAGGTAGGTAGACAAACAGCAAGCACGCAAGCAAGCAGGCAAGGGGATGTGATGTATAGTAGGGTTGGGGTATGATTTGAGGGGAACGTGTGATGATTGGGTGGAACAGGACTTAATACTTTTGATGGGAGGGTGGTATGTGGGAAGGGGAAGCTTAAGCTGGGACCACAAGTGGGTGGGAATGCAATGGATGGGGTGGGAAGAAATAGGAAAAAGGGAAAGGGAAAGGAGGAAAACAGGAAAGCAAGAGGAAGTAGAAGAGGAAATGAGAAGAGGGTTGGGGAAGAGAGGCTTGTTTGTTTTGGTGCCACGTAAGAAGGAAGTGGAGGACGCGACTAGTAGTGAAGCCACGGCCAGACACCGCTTCTTGTCGCTCTCCACTTGGGCTGGAGTGGATGTGGTGCCCCGTGCCAATCCTATGCCCCAGCCAGGCAGCCACCGGGAAAAAAACAAAACAAAAACAGTAATGAAAAAGAAAACAAACCAAAAATAATAACCATGTAAATAAAGGGGAAAAAAAAGTGGGAAAAATCAAAAAAAAATAGTGGCTTACCGTTCACGCGCTAGATCAACTTGGGGATACCGAGGAGCAGCAGAGGAAGCAGCAGCACCAACGGGGGGGATAGTCTCAACACGCTCGTCGAATCGAACAGTATTGACAGTAGTAGTCACGTCCTCCTCACGGAAAGCAGAAGGAGCACCGGGTCTAGGACGGTAACGATCCTGTTCGACAAAAGCTGAAGCAGAAGAAGCGTGAAGGTCGACTTCTTCCTTTCCGTAGACACGGGGGTCCGGGAGAGGAGCAGAGGTTCGAGTATCTTCCCGTTCGACGTGCGAAGTGCGATCGAGATTGACTTCTTCCTCTACTCTGGCAGGCGCCGCGAGAGTAGCTTCAGGAACAGCGTCACTCCGGTACGACGACGGGAAGACACTGAAGGGGATGGGGACGCGGGCGTCGAAGTCCAGATTGGCTGTCCTTCGGGCGTCTCTTCTCGAATGCCTTTCGAACTGTTGGGCAACAACTCGAAAGACGAGACAAGAAAAGACTTGTTACGGGGAAGAAGAAGTCTTTCTCGGGGGGAGTACGTGGGGTTGGAATTGAGACGATACTTTGTGATCGATCTCAAATCAAGCGGAGAATTCCTGGGGTAGAGGAATGTAAGATAAGCTTAAGCTTGAATAAGAAAGGGGGGAGGAATGGAATGGAAGAAGTAGAAGGTGGAGAGAGGGGGGGATGAGGATAGAAAGAGAAGAGGAGAGAGAGAAGAGAACAGCTTGATGACGAGGAGGAAAAGACGGTGTTGAAGTAGCTGGAGATACGCGTTTGTTTACCGCGCCTTGCCGGATTGGGGCCATGTTTACAGTCCACTGAAGTGCTTCAGCTCTCCAAACTTTACTCACGACTCACTCCTCCGTATCTACAGTAGAACAGTGACTGACTATCTGGTATCTACTGGAATAATCATCCTGCCCCCCTCCGCCCCTTCCAGCCTCCTGCGGGATGTACAATCTAATGATGGGGGGAGGTTTATCCCGAGGTTCCTAATCTCCTCTCCATCCACGGTCGGCGATTGATCCCATCCACGGTTCCCGCCCGCGTGTTCCAATTGCTGGCTATTTGTAGGGTCCCTTTCACACTCGCATTGACGCCATCGTTGAGACCGATCACAGTAGTTTGATCGATAGCTCCATTTTCCACTGACTCGAACGCATCGCCCGTGAAGCAAGTAAGTACTACAGTTAGTCTGTCTCCACTCGGCACCACATCCTTCACATGCAGCTGGGTTCATTTCGCATTCACACCATAATAAACTCATCACCCACGAGGCTGGCCAGCCGCCCCCAGCCGAGTCCCCATGGCAACAACCTCGATCGGACAATCTGGATCCCGCTGAGCTCCAACCGATCGTCGCCCAATGCTTTTCCTTGCCGATATTGCTGCTTTTCGTTCAATATTCAGAAACCCAAACCCCATCTCTTGGGTGCCGGTTCCCTGAGAAACCATGAGATGATTAGAGAGTCAATTCATCTCTCTCTCTTCTCTTTTTTTGCCACCTCCTCTTCTCCCTCTCGATTGATCCCGATGCGTGGAGCTGACTCGCCTGGAACTTCCCCCATCGACCATCCAGCTTGCTCTTCGCCCAGCACGGCTTGCTGCAGCTGTGCGCCGTGCTCATCGTGTTGTCCCGCCATTGGCGAATCGAGCTTCGTTGCTCCCCAGCCGGTCTCACTTCTCGTCTCCACTCCGGCCAAGCTCTGAGTGTCTCAATTCCCAGCCATTCGCCCGTGCTTGACCAGCCTCTCGCTCGGGTTGATCGTAGGTGCAGTCGATGGGCTCGGGCGGGCGCCAGCCTGCCGATTTTCCTTGACCCTGCCTGATCCCAGCTCCAGTTCGTTGCTCTGAGCTTCCTCGGCTGGTTGCAACAAATGGGTCTAGGCGCTCCCAGCGGGAAACTAATACCCGGTCGGTTCGAGGCCATTGCTGCCTAGCTTGTTTGCTCTGTGACTGCTCATCTCCGGTCGCTTCCTGGGTTCCTGGGTGAACCGGGAGCTCCGTAGTGTTGTGCCCACCATCGCCGTGGAGGACGCGTCCGAATAATCTGCCGCATCGATTACTCGTGCTGCACACAAGGTTACAGCCGTCGGACAATAATCTGCAGAGGGACCTCTCACATGCTGACTCTCCACCTGCTCTTCAGCCTGCTCTTTTCCCCTCCCCGGTCACCACTTTGCAACTCAAACAGAAGAAGGATGCAAATCTACAAGTAGGATAACAATGCGAGAGAATATGAGCCAAAACGTAGTGTAGATCTCATATAAATATTGATTATGTAAGTTATCGGCCATGGCCTGTCACCTCTTCTCGGCCGTTCGGCCGGAATGGCAACCTAAACGAGGGTATCAACCAAGTCCAAAATGAAATCCCAAATGTTCAAACAATACCCCATCTCTGAGCGCCATGTAGTCCGTATTCTCGTCAGGTCTTATCAACCCATCTGCCCCAATGTTTTTTGCTTCCTATTGCGCCGTGTCGCTGCCCATCCCCAGGCATCATCTGCGATGGCTGGCAGTCGCCATGATTATGAATTAGGTCAGATCTTAACAAATCAACAAGCTATTACAACGCATATTTCCAACACAAGACATCGAAGAGAAGAAATGACAGGATGAAGATAGCAAGGCCAGGTATTAGATCGTATGTATAAATATATATATGAGAAGAGAAGGTTCGCTTCACTTCAATCGCGCAGGCCAAACGCCTTCCGGAGTCGGGGAAATCGTTTTTTGCGTCCTGAAGATGAGATCGGTACGTCCGCCACGTTGGTTGGCCGTCCCTCACTCTTGTCCGCAGTCACGCCAGTCGAAGGATTCACGTTCTCTTTGACAGATCCCTGAGAAGGTGAAACAACCGTACTGCCGTTCCGAGGAGTTTCATCGACGGTGGCTAGTCGCTCTGCAGGGCCATTCGCAGGAAGGGGTGAGCCTGTCCGAGTCTCCTTCCGATCGGAGCGCAATGGCCAGTTGTCGCTGCGAGAGGACCGCTGCGAAGGCCTGCGAAGCAGCTTGGATGGGGGTGGGGGCGGATTAGTCGCCGTGATGGTCGTCACGATATTCGACTCGGCCCCGGGAAAGGGAGATTCCCCTCGTGCTTGCTCTTGATCCACTCGGGGCCGCTCTGCAGGCCCTCCGTTGCGTACGGAACTGTCTAGCCCGGGCTTGACTAAGCCTCTATCCAGAGGGGACTTCGACTTTCGAATGCTGAAACGCTTGAGAAGTCCAGGCTTCCGACCACGATTAGGTTGGCGCAGGAACTCGTCGAGCTCCTCCTCCGTCATCCCGCGATTTTTAGCTACAGCAGCTAGTGCAGGGTCCCGAGATGTGCTCGGCTTCGCTGGGGACTGCGGATTGGCTAGCGGGGGTGCACGATGGTCCTCATCTGAGCTGTCTTCCAGTTCTGTCGAATCGCCGTCGTGCGTTCCCTGCCGACGAGGAATGCCCCGGACGGGTCGCATGGCATTCGGGCTCCGCTGTTCATCATCGCTGGAATCTTCGTACCGATGACGTGACCTCCAGGCCTCGTACCCCTCATCGTCAGAGTCCGAGTCAGGGAACCGGGAAGCGAAACCACCGCCCGGCACCTTTGTGAGTCTGGACTTTTGAGCCTTGTTGTTGGAGAAGAACGAGGGCTTCTCACGTTTGGGAGCATTTGCCCGTAAGGTTGTGCGCATGGTGCCAAACCCAGATTCGGAGGACACCGGGCGGGTATCCACTGGCGGGGACGTTGCTCTGTTAGAGGCCAAGCGACCCGGAGTACTTCGCATGGTCCGTCTCATAGTGTAGTTGGAGTCTGCGCGCGCAGGTCGACCAGCCCGCTTGAAGCTGCTGGAAGAATCACTGCCGCTGGATAGCGGTCTTGGTGACGCGGGCGAAGTCCTGCCGTTAATGTGCGACGTACGGCTCATGTCCTGGGAGTCGGCAAGAGCTGGGCTCCATGAAACCGGCCGTCTCCGGGAACTGTCTGGAGTAGGCCGCTGCCTTACACTAGGTGGTTCGGGCTGGGATGCCAACTGCCCATTTACAGCTGACCCATTCACTGCGCGCGGTGCCTTGTTACCAGGCATTGCGTCGCTACTTCCTACCAGCATGGAATGCCTGGCTGGACGAACAGCGACCGAAGAGGAACGTGAAATGTCGGCTTGAGAAGAACTTCGTCTGTTCTTCGGCTCGATCGGAAACGGGGGATAAGGTGACGAAAACGGAAGAGGCTCGTGGGAAGATCCGGGGGATTCTGGGATCGGCTCCATAACCTTATCCGGGAACGTAGTCACCGTGCGTGCAATTTGACATGTTTGAGGTATATCTGGCCAGTCGGTAGACGGTGAGTGAGACCGCCCTGCGCCACCAGTCTCTGCAGGTATCTTGGTTGCGCTCTTGGGAGCCGAAGTAGCAGCTGTTTCATCGTCCACGATGGCGTTGATCGACCCGAAGCCATTGCCTTCGGTTCCTTCCTCAGCATCACTATAGATACTGTCGCCCGACTCGTCACCGCTTTCGCCATCAGCAGGGCCTATGGTGGCATTGTTGGTAGCGTCCGTGGAATCCTCCGCCTTCATTTTACCATGGGCTTTGGAGTCGAACTCCAACGACGAGCGAGGGAAACCCCCAGGAACCTCATACCACTCGAGACTCCGACGCTCCTTCTCAAACATGGGAGACGCCGGCTGGACCATAATATTGGGTACTGCCAAAGTCGTCTCTGCGGTACGCTCCTGCCCAGCATGAGAAGAAACATCAACCGTCCCCGTAGGAATTTCTGGCTGACTCGTTTCACTAGCAAAATGACTCTCCTGTGGCGATTTCTCCGCCTCAGATTCGCTTTCGGCTGCATTCGCAAGCATGAGCGGCGCCACGCGGGGCTCTGCTTCCTTCGATTGATTTTCGGTCAGAAGGCCCCCGATAGCGTGGTCATTGGAGAAAGACCACTTCAGTGCTTCCGCAGGCGAGTCAGACGACGTTGTTGACTCGTTGTCGCTCAACTCAGGCACGGATTTCTCTTGGGACTCACCATCCCGACCAGCCCGTATACTGCCGAAAGACGGGAGAGCTCGCCGCGGCTTCAGCACTTCGTCAAACTCAGTATTGAGCGGCGTTGGTTTCTTCTTCCCGCCAAACCAATGAGTCTTTGGTTTGGGCTTCTCGGGCAACGGCTCAGGAGACGTTTCTTCCGGCGATGTTGGTGGACTTGCAGCAACCCCCACCACCTCCGCCTCGTCATCGAAACTGACCTTGATTGGCTTCCTCCGGATTCCTGGTTTGGACCCTTCGTCGGAAGCTGCCGAGGTCCCATCAGATAGCTCGCTCAGCGGTGGTCCCGGCCGGAGAACGGATTCAGTCCGCCCCTCCGGAGAAAGTGAGATCTTGCGCGGAGTCTTCATAGCCGACTTGGCAGGTGACAGGGACCGAGGGGGAGGTTGGTGCAGCTGCTCGCCGGCAAAGGCTGCCACCAGCAAGTGACGGGAAAAGTGCGCAGATCTGCCCGGACTGCCTGACTGGCGAATGTCTGACGGCTGGCTATCCTGGCCAGGCTCAGTGGTTTGCGTGGGCAGCTTGGGACTTATGGGCGGGCTGAGTAATTGATCCTTGCTTCTATCGGGTGTGGGTGGGAATGCGACCGTCGGTTGCGTATCGGGCGTCACACTGCCGCCTCGGGGTGGAACAGGCCGCTGCTTAGGAATATTTGACTCGGCACGTTCCTCGCCCTGGGCATCCTCAGGTACTGTGGAAGGTCGTTTTACTAGATGCGGGCGGACTGGCTGCTTGTGTTCTGGGGGAGCAGCAGGCTGACTAGGGGCCTGGTCGGGGACTGTCTGCTCGCGAGGGGCAGCGATGCGAGGGGCCGCAGAAACTGGGGGTTGGGTCTGAGTGACATCTTGTACCCGGGGCACCACCGCAGCCTGCGCAGCGGCTACTGCAGTGCCGGAGGACTGTGCGCCACGACCAGGGCTGCCCGGCGACATGCCCATGCTCTTCGTCGCTCGGACCGATCGAGGACTGGCATTCTTGACTTTGGGAGATTCGGGCGAGGATAGCTGACCTGCAAGTGAGGTGCTCGCGGAAGCATCGCGCCTATCCAATGCATTGATAGACCCGTCCGGGGAATTTGGCCTAGAGTGCATCGGATAGGAGAAATTGACGGAATTCCGACTTGTTGGTCGTCGAAGCTCGGGAGACGGGGTCGACCCTGGCGCGCGCATAGCGGGCTGGGTAGCCAAACCGCGATCAACGCTCATGCCTCGTCCTGCCGGTGTCTTCCCACGAGGGCTGGGTCGCTGCGACGGCCCGACACTGGCCGAACGATGGGCATTACTATTTCGTGCGGAGTATACTTGAGGGATGGAAGGAAGTGGCGGCGCAACCTCGACTGGACCGGAACTGGAGGCCGGGCGTCGCGGTGACTGGTCGCGGAATGTACGGGTGGACATGGAAGCCGAACTATTGGCGCGACGAAGGCCATTCCGACTCGTTGGACGCAGACTGGGTACGCCACTTGCCTGGGACGAGACCGAGGCCCTCCGCTGCATCATGCGCTTTGTTTGGACATTTTCGACAGAGGTCGGGGTCGGCGTGAGACTGCGGAGGGCGGCGGCAGCGGCGGCAGAGGACAGGCTGCTGGAGGAGGGTTGAGATTTGAGGAAGGCATGGCTTGCGGCGGATTGGGCGGATTGCGAGGAGGAGGCAGAGAGAGGATGCTGGGCGTGTCAATGGGGATGATGAAGGTCAAGAGGACCGGCGGAATAGGAGACTCACCTGATGCTGAGAGGAGCTCCTCTTTCTGCGGAACATGGCTCAGGCGGTGCCCGAGGCCGGAGAGGAGGAAGTTGCAATTAATTATAGATTTTTGTAAATCGTAAACGTCGTAGATGCGAGATGAATGGAGAGAGAATAGCAACGAACGGGCGTTGGTATGCGAAGATCGAAAAGTGTTTATTGATGGGCACGAAGGAAAAGGCAGCAAAGCAACGGGGAAGCGAACGAGAGGCGGAGAAAGGGAAAGGAAAGGAGGGCGGCGAGATTAGCGAGGGGAGACGAGCAAGGAGGGGAGGGAGAATGCAGGAGAGGGAATTAAGGATGCAGCTCGGATGCAGGCCGGAGATGAAGAAGAAGTAAGAAGTAGAGAAAGAAGAACAAGAATGAGTGACGCAGCAGTTGGAGGGACAAACAGGAGAAAAAGTAAAGTTTGGCCAAAGAAGCAGAAAGTCGGAAAACAAAGTTGGGCTCTTGCGTCATGGAGCCAAGCCGGATGGATCCTTTTCTTCGTTTGCTTCCCAACTGATTTTCTTCATCTTGATGAACATGAACCCTTTAAACAACTATACTAATCATGAAGAAGATATGTAGACTATAAAGTAATTTAACCTCGGGTCTTTATCCATATTACCAACCATCAATTAGCATCTGATCCCCCTCTTTTTCAGATACTTAACCTTCCCTTTCCCCTCTCCCCTTGAACCTTATACTCCCCATCTCACCCTACTATATTACACACCATAACCATAATCATTATCATCACCATCACTACCCCAATACAACCATGTCCTCCTCCTCCTCATCGCCACCATTATCCCCCCTCCCCCTTCCCCCCTCCATAACCTCCCGCCTCATCCCAACCACTCCCACCCTAACCACCCACATCCTCGAATCCAACTCCCCCACAACAACAACAACAACAACATCCACTCCACGCCCCCGCAAACTCATCCTCCTCCTCCACGGCTTCCCCGAACTCGCCTACTCCTGGCGCCACATCCTCCCCCAACTCTCCAACCAAGCCGGTCCGGACTACCACATCGTGGCCCCAGACGGACGCGGCTTCGGGCGCACCACAGGCTGGGAAAAAGACGCCCCCAACTACTCCGACTCGAACCTTACCACCTTCACCGGCCTGTCCTTAGTCCGGGACGTGGTGAGTCTCGTCCACGCACTGGGCTACACCACCGTGGAATGCGTCGTAGGTCATGATGCAGGCGCCGTGACGGCGGCGTTTTGCGCCGTCGCCAGACCCGATATGTTTCGGAGTGTCGTGCTGCTAAGTCATCCGTTTCCGGGGGTTCCGGCTGCTTTTATTCCCCAGGCAAATAATGAGAGTAAGGAAAAAGAAGGAGGAGGAGGAGGAGATATACAAACCGAGCTAAACAACCTCGGTCTGAAACATTATAAATGGTACTACTCTACCGAAAACGCCGGCCATGAGATGGAGAACCCCGCGCAAGGTCTCCACGAATTCCTTCGGGGATACTTTCACCTGAAGAGTGGTTGCTGGGAAGGGAATGACCCTTCGAGCATGGGACCTATTTCCTCGTGGACGGGGGAACAGTTAGCCAGAATGCCGGGGTATTATATCATGCCGGTGGGGTTGAGTATGCCCGACACGGTGGAGGAGATGATGCGGCAGGCGAATGCGGAGGGTGTATCGAAGAGTAAGAAGTGGATGAGTGATGAGGAGCTGTCGGTGTATGTGGGAGAATATGCGCGTACGGGGTTCCAGGGCGCGTTGAATTGGTATCGGGTGCGGACGACGCCGGAGAGGAAATATACTTGGGATTGGGAGGTGTTTGCGGGGAGGAGGATTGAAATACCGTGTGCGTTTGCCTCCGGGGAGAGTGATTGGGGGGTGTATCAGGAGCCTGGGGCGTTGGAGAATATGCGGAATGGAACGAGTTGTGGGGATTTGAGGGAGGTGAGGTTGATTCCTGGGGTGGGGCATTGGGCGCCGCAGGAGGCGCCGGGGGAGGTGGTGGAGGTTATTTTGGGGGTGGTGAGGGGGTTGTAATTATATAGCAGGGTATAGGTAGGAGGTAGAAGTAAGTTGTCGTAGATGTTTAGGGTTTTAGGTATGTGAGATTGATTCGATATATAGTATGTAATGAGTCTTATTACCACAACACCATGATAGAACATTAAACATGCAACTTCATTGCAAAACATTGAAATCATCGTCGGCTCACAGCCAAACGGGGTATGGGTATAAGGAGAGTATAAGGGTATGTATGGTAGGTATGTGCCGAGTAACCAGGGAACAAAACAACTTCAGAATACATCATCACATCACATCATGAACAGTCCAAACACCACCATCACCAGCACCGGTACCACGGCGTTCAACCCGGGACTACTCAGCCGCGCCAGTGCACCAGAAGTCGTCAAGGACTTCGAGGCAAAGACATACTTGAAGGCAATATCCGTTGAGTTGAAGCAGTTGTCTTTGGTCACTTCCTCGACATCCTCAGGTTCAGCGAAGGTGATGTCCACACACTATGGAGTCAGTCAGTATCAAACCAAATTTAAATGGATACATAGAGGGGCTGTTGCATACATCATAAAGAGCAGCACCGTGCTTCGCCGCCAACACCACCTGAATCGTCGCATTATCACCCGGGCTCACACTCATATTGGCTGGCAGCGGCACTTGCGGCATACAGATGGTGCCGGGGTAAGGGTTGTTGGTGGGACCTTCGATTTCAAAGACCGAGAGCATGGGGTTACTCATGTTGGGAGGGACGGTACCCCAGCCGATGTTAATGTAAACGAAGGCCGTCTCATGACCGCGGAACCAGGCAGGTTGAAGGGCGACAGCACCGCCGGTGACGGGCCATTTGGTGCGATTGCGAGAAGTGGCCATACCGCCACCTAAAACAGTCAGCCGACTACCTTCTTTGAGGAAATGGGAAAGGCAAGATGGTATACATACAAGGATAGATCCATTGCATTCCATAGGGGTAGACGTAGGAGCCGTTCTTCCAAGCGACACCCAGACCGTTGGTCTCTTCGACTGTACCGTTGGTGTGCAGGTTGTTACCTCGATATCCGGGGTAAGTGATGACGGTGTGAGCATTGACCAGGCCTAGCCACAGAAGGGTGAGGGCCGCTGTCCAGCGGGATATCGAGTCGCTGAAGGATCTCATTCTGAGGGAACCAGTAGGTAGAACAATAGAGGAAGGAGATATAGGAAAGAGGAGATATACGGAGTGCGCCAGAGGAGGTCAGATGGAACAGAAATAACCTCTAGCAACCTCGACTCATCAAGAGGCACACGAAAACAGTCACGGCAAGCGATCCAGCACTGCAGGAAGAAGAATGATCATCATGAAACCAAGCCTTCCAGCAGCTGGGCGGGAGGGAGGGCTGCCATGACTTTTTGAGTCGAGACGAAGAGGCCATGGCCGGTTCCTGCAATGGCGCTCACGGCCACCGGCATAGCGGGGAAGACAAGCGATATGGACGAGTCACAGCGCAATGTGCGATGTGACAACTCCCGCAGGGGACAGCGGCGATTGGGGATGGGATGGGATGAGTGACGGTTCCAACGGCAGAAGTTTAGCTGATAGCAGGACTGGGATCAGACTAGACTACAACTGGGGAGCGCGCGAAGGATTGCAAGAAGCAGATTGGTTGGGTGGATGGACCAGGGAGGCGGGCTGCAAGAGACATCACAGCGACAGGGAGCAGTTCTGGACTGTCATTCGCGGAGAGGCAGCTGCTGGTAGCGCCGAGCAAGGGTTGGGAGAGGGCACGAGAGGGCACAGGAGGAAGCAGAAGAGGGGGAGCGACGGGCGCTATCCGGGCAGGGCGCTTAGAGATCGACTCAGAGGGGCCGATGGGGAGGTGATCGCAGTGTGACGGGACGATCGCATGCAGCTTCTGTCCATTAGTCTCGTTGCAGTTTTTCAGTTAACTATCTCCTTCTGCTAGTATAGTCCCGTCTCAGCGCTACTACGGAACTTTCTAATGGTTGTCAACCTTTCACGCTGATTCGCATTATCACCCCGGTTCTGGTTGTGTTGGGGCACGATTTTGCCATAGCCAATCAGCTAAGAGGAACACCAAAACCCAACCCTGAGATGTCAACGATCTAGTACTTTGCATCGTATGTTTTGTATGATAACAACTTCTTTCATTTTCAACGGATATACCATGCAATTTGTGTTGTGAGTTGGACGAATGCTGATACTGTTGGTGTTCAGCCTGTAGCTAAGCGCCCAACCCCGCCATAGTATAGTCTACGCATGTTGGTCTGACTTGAAGCGCCGTGATCAAGCTTGCATGACAGGGATAACTGTAGGTAATGTCTTTATCCGCTGCTTTTCTCATGCTTGATTTTTGGCTGCACGCCCTTAGCTTGAACTTGATCTAGGCTCAGGAAGACATCACCTACCATAACATCACGTGATCTCGATATCTAAAAGCTATGCGGATAGGCACAATAAGAAAGACTATGTCTCACTACTATCTCTTCAGATTGTTCAAGGTTCTTACGATATTGTCTCTCATACTTCTGTCAGCTGCAGTTTCATTGTCTTCCGACCTTGCAGACACCTGGTCTACCGGGACTAGTCCACTATCTACTGATTTCTTTCCAAGCAGTCTTACAGACCTCAACGACAGTTATTACCACCAGAGAACTTCATGGAAGAACAAAAACACTGCATACTCAGTATAATACGGTTCGAGAACCTGTGTCATATATCCAGTCCAATCATTCTGCCACTTCCATATCGCGAGAGCTTTGACAAACTCCCAGGGTTCAGGAAACCAACCACTGAACTCCCAATCTACGATTCCAGTGACGTTCCCATTATTGACCATAATATTGTAATGACGAAAATCCCCATGGGTAAACACAATATTGTGTCTTTTCTGAGACGCAAGCATACCAACCAGGACATTCTTGACATGACGTTTAGGTGCTCTGTCTTGATACGCATTGATAATTGCATTGTTAAAATCATCTTCTGAATCAAAGGGTCCTTAGTAGCGTCAGTATCAATGACAGGTATTGGTGACACTACTCACCCTTAAACTCAAGGTCTCCTAGGATTGGATCAGGAAGAGGCCCACGATCAACGGAGCCTATGTAATTCCTGTGCTCAATCTGGCGAAGCTCATCGAGATACCCTTTCAACTGGTCGGCAATTCGACATTTTGTCACACTATCATAAGTATCCCAGACCTTATCCAGCCTCTGACCCTCCACATAACTCATGAAGATATAGTTATCGTAATAGCTCCCATAATCATCGATGTCCCGGTCAATTGGACCATAAGAGTAATAAGCAAAGATCTTGGGCACTGGGACAGTTTCTGTATTCTGATCAACAAACACCATGCTTTTAGCCTCGTGTAGTGTGACATGGGAGCCAAATTTGACCACAACTTCAGGAGATATCTTCACTATCTTTACGCCGCCCCAGCAAAATATGGTATTACTGGGGTTCGCCATTGTCTTGATGGTATCTGGATCGAGTACTGCGAAACCAGAAGATGAGTAGAGGATGTTGACTTGTGGTTCAGAGCCAACAGACAGAAAATTTTGCTTTTCTTCCGTGTTGGACATATCTAATACAGAAATGAAGCAATACGCTTTCGAAGATATTGTATACTGGTGGAAATAAATGGTGGGGAGCAAAGGATGGATGGGTCCAGGCTATGCCGCCTTATAAGCGTGTCTACTTCTTAGTATCCTCCCACCAATCAAACCCGCCCACTTACCGCCCGCCGGCTCTCCCCTCCCCTCCCCTCCCCTCCGTCGCATTCAATTCTCTCTGCCATTCATGCATCTCCCCTTCCACCAACAAGCACAACGCCCATAACACTCTCTACTACTAGCTCCAACCCCCTCCTCCCAATCACACAGCGAAAGAAGAAGAGAGAACCAGCAAAATGCCCCACACCTCGCGCAAAAAACACCCTCACCCCAACAACACCTTACAAGCGCAAAAACGACTCCAAATCACCGACGCCACTACCGGCTGGACGCATGTCACCACCAGCGGCAAAGCGCGCCGCTGTGCGCGCACCACCAAAGACCAACAATCACAATCCCAATTCCAATCACCAACAACAAAAGAAGAAAAAGAAAAAGAAACAGAAACATTCCACCCCGCCGAAGCCCCACCCACCACCACCCTCGACTCCCTCAAATCGCAATTCACTCAGATCCAACGCACATGGAAAGAATCAACTACGTGCGATGTGGTGAAGAGGACGCTTCACAATATCCTCCTTCCTCCTCAATTACAATCACGAGAGTCAAATACGGATAATACACAACAATCGCATACTACAACATGGAATAAGCATAATGGAATAGGAACAGGGATTGATTCCATAATCTGCATCGGTCTCGGCAGTCCGAGCGGATTCCTTCGTGGAGGATGGGTTGATCGACGATTAGTTTCGCTGTATCAGTTGGCTGCGTTGGTGCATGTCATCGCCTCTATCTCTTCCTCTTCTTCTGCTCGTGAGTATATCCATATCCTATCTACCTCAATTACCCATCTAATCATTCATTCTTAATCAGCAGATCCAACAATAAAAACCTACGCTCAAGACCCTGTCTTCAATACCCTCGACACGGCCCTCCTCTCTAGCCTTGACATCACCGTCCTCGAGTCCCCGCATGCCTTCGAGAAAGTAACTCCCCGTACGTTCCTCTTCTGTCCTGGTGCGGAGCGCACACATCTTGAGCAGTTATTGGCGCTGGATCCGGCGTTTGTGTTTGGGGGACCGCTGGAAGATGTCGAGTCAGAGGTGGTGAGTGCGTTTGTGAAGAGAAGGGGGTCGGTACGGTTGCCGCTGTTTGAGGCGCAGGAACATGCGTTCTGGAACATGCGAGTTTATTATCCGTTGGAGAAGGAGGGGGAGGAGTAGTATGCTAAGGTATCATGATCTTAGATGTGGATGGCTATCCATTACCAGAGAGAATGATGGGTGACCAGTATGATGATAACCATCTACTGGCTACACGCCTACGCTACGCCCCTTATACCGAATCGGCATGCATGCAACAAGGGTCGTATTGTCAGCCCTAAGTGGATCACACGCTCACGCTATATACAAACACGCCAAATAGCACTTCGCGTAGAATGGCGTCGTGACACTCGTCAGAATGCCGCGCAAATGAACGACGGCAGCCGACCCATGCACCAGGTCAATAGAATACAGTCCCAGGACAAAGCTTTAACACCGCAAGGAAGCACAGCAGAAATCGATCAGTCGTAATGCATCATAACACATGATGTATGTCGGATATGTTGTGTACATTTCATCCATCATCACTTTCATCAGGTCTAGAGACGTATCGGCGTTCACGTAATTGTCTTGCCGCCACAATCAGGGATCTTGACGCCCGGCTTCAGATTGCGAGCCGAGTCCATCAGCCCCCATTTGTCTTCCCATTCCTGACCGGGCGTGTTGTACTGGACCTTCCACGGCTCATCGAAAGCCTCGAACCTGCATATATCTTAGCCGCGTCTTGCAGTTGTAGCAGTCTGCAACTTACCAGAAATACTCTGTACCATTATCCAACGCCTGACAAACCCATTCCGACAGGAACTGGTTCAGCTCATCGATGCCCGCCACAGCGCCCTGCTTGTCATTCTGACATTTGTTGTCGGACCCACAGTCGTTCCCTCCACCCGTCGGCCATCCGACCTCTGATATGATCTGCTGTTTGTTCGTTCCTGCTGTGAGTGGGGTGTCGTGCGTTTGCCAGAATGTCCACGTCCAGCTGGCAGCGTCATCAATTTCTACTCCTCCGAAGAACGGATGGATGTTCGACATGACAAAGTCGGCTGCGCTGACCAGCTGTGCATTCCAATTGTCGCCCAAGTCCGAGGTGCCCACCGGGAGGTCAATGTTTTTCTCTTTGAAGTGGTCTTTCACATCGTTAATGTAGCCGATCAAATTCGTTTCTGCACTCGCCACGTCGGAGCCTGCTCGATAGAGTGCTTCATTACCCACAATAGCTCCTTTGAATATCGAGGTATCGTTTGCGCTTTCCACGATCTTATACAATTGGCTAATCTGGCGGTCCGTAGTCGTGGTGTTGGTATCGATCCACACGCCCAGCCAGAGCTTCATATTAGTCAACTGCAAGCGATCAATGGCCTCGAGGACCATCTCAGTCTGATTGCAGTCCGTGCCGTACAGTCGGATAGTATTAGTCAACTGCGTGAGCACCGCCAGGTCGCGCGTAACGTTGTTCTGCGACGGAGGATATTGGAGACACAGCGGATACTGTACTCCCCACGGGGTATAGTCGACACCGGGAAACACTTTGTGAAGGTTCTTGTTGTTCATAAGCGCCTTGATCTCGTCGGAATCCTTGTCGAGCAGCCCATCTCCTTTATCCGAACCACCAGACCCTGTGCCCGATGATGATGATGACGAAGATGTATCGCCGTCATGCTCCTGATGGCCCAGAATACCACCGACAGCGCCCCCAACAATAGCTGCCACGATCACTGCCGCCAATACGAGCCCAACAATCCACCCACGTTTGCGACTCCCGCCTCCAATAATGTGCCTACCTCCTTGTGCCTTTTCGGCTCCTCCCAACCCACCTCCAATATCAGAATCATAATACGGACTAGGCTGCTCTTTCTTGAAAAGCGCCCGGAACTTCCCTAAAAGCCCCCCGGCAGCCGCTGCGCCAGCGACACCTGCAGCAGGCACATTTCCGTTCGATCTGTAGTCCGCCACTCCCTTGGGGTGGACAGGGAACCCATCATCGCCATCGTCAGCAATATCATCCGGATTGATGACAAGCGGGTAGTCGTGAGAACTATAAGCCGAATGCCGCTGATACGGTCCAGCATCCACACCTTGGTACGGACTATCGAAGAAGCTGTGTTGGGATGGCGTGGTTCCCGGCGTGCTATGTTCTGCAAAAGGTGCGCCAGCACCAAGCCCCGTATGCGAGCTGTAAGAGTCGCGATACCTCATCGTCTCCGAATTCGGATAGATGTCCCCATCGGGCGGAGCAGGTATACAGGGATTATCGGAGCCGGTGGTGTTGAAATCCCGTTCAGCAGGGAGATTGCGTACTGGAACATCTGTTTCCCTAAAAGCGTCAACTCCACTCTGGCGATTATTAGAATTGGCTACGCCAAGAGCGATACCACTGATTCCGCCACCCACAGAGGCCGGCCCTAGATTATCCATCCCCGGTGTCGAGGTCATGTGGCGCTCCAGACTCTGACCTTCCGGGACTGACACCAGACCTCGGTCAAATGGCCTGGTCTGCCCTTGAAAACCAGCAGATAGCGGGGAGATGTCGCCATATGATGTACTGTAGAGACCGTCTTCTGCAGATCGGAGGGGTGAGATCTCTCGCTCATCATCTCTCAACAACGCATCGTCGCCGCGACTGTAACTAAAGGACCGGTTCACGCCGGCCATGCTGGAACATGTGACAAGGAATCTTTTGTGAATGATTGTTAGGAAATATCGCGATAGGAGACGAAATAGTTATAATAATAGGGTACTGAGCTAACTGGCGACGAAGGAAGAGAGGGCGATAGATGAGGAAGAGTTACTATTAGGAGCAGTGAAAGGAAGGAAGAGAGCACACCAAGCAAGACCCCAAGTAAGACAGCCAGACGAACGAGGCAAGGGCAGAAAAAGCGGTCTCCCGGCAGGCAGGTGGTAGTAGTAGTATGGCACCCCAACCGTCGTAGGGTGTTGTTTCTAAATCAAGAACAAGTCTGACAGCCCGGGCGGAACCACGGTTCGTCGTTTACAGACGATCCCGTGAAAGTCACCCAAGGATGGGCGGAATATCGTGGACCAGTGAATTGCGACGGTGCTATTTTCTTCGACGCAATTGTCAGCATACCGCCGAAATAGAAAAAAGGAACGCAGCCACGAACTCAATCAGATTTGAAATGCAAACCCGGATCTTAGACTAAGTTTCGGGGTGTCTTGGATTTGGGACGTGAGGGGGTGGAAGGATGGATGGAGAAGGCGGATATGAAAGAGAAACAACGAGTAGTCAGTTGTTCCTAGGGTGGGTGGCAGTCGATGGATGGAAGTCGGAAGATTGGTAGTAGATAAAGTGACTGCATGCGGCACAGAAGCAGTGGAGAAAAGGACCCCAGCTTCCATGGCGACGAGCAAAAAGGTTAATGGATGAAGTTACTTTTTTGGTGGAGGGATGGGTGGGAGGGAGAGCGGCGGTGGCCCCGACAACCACTAGACTTGTACTGTATACTGTATGGCTGTATGGAGCGGGTGTATGTAACTGTGCCCTGAATTGGAAGCCAAACGTCGTACTAAACGCCAGGGTCCAGCAGCCACTAAGCCGCATCGGGTCAGGGTCTTTCCCCGGTTGGTCCACTGCCGCTTCGACCTAATCGGAATCGGGGTTGCACGTGCCCGCCCAGATGCACTGAATGCGGCAGGCAGCAACCAATTAACCTTGTTTGGTCCCCGTATTCTTTGGGGTTTCATTGACATGACACCAAAGGAAAAGGAACAAAACCACAATACCATCATTCACATTCAGAGTTTCATCATCAGTCATTCATCATATTGTTTTCGTAGTAAGGGCAGCCGTCAAATCATCATAATCATGTCAAGAACAAAAAATCATCATCGAAATCCAACGCCCGATCCATCAGACCGCCATATCCCCTTTCCCCTCTCTTGGACTCCCTCCCGATATCTATTACTTTACATAGCGGCCCATGATCGCTGTCGGCCCCGTCAGCATAACCCTGAGGGACAACCCGGCAGAAGGATCAGGCGAACTAGGACAAGGAACGAGTGACACGGTCAAAGTAAACATCTCCCTGACAGACCCTTCAGGGATACGGTAGCACTGAATAAAAATAGAAGGAGATGGTGTGTTTTCAAGCTGCATGGCTCAAGCCTCGACCTCTTCAGCACTGCGCTGCGAGGCAGACACCCCATGAGCACCGGCACCCCGAGTCGGGCCCCCCGCCGCCCGTCGCTTACGCTCGAGGAATCGTCGTTTGCCCGCCCGCGTCTCGAAATGCCGAGGAATGGATGTCGGTTCCTGGCCGGCCGCCAGCATCGTGCTGCGCATCTTATTTCGGTACGCGTCAACTACATTCCCGACACGGGCCAAAGATTAGTCACATTCAAGGTATTCCGAGGTGGGTACTGCATGGCCAACATGCAGGCGACGCAAGGGATGTAAGGGAAGGGAAGATCACGCACGAGATCGCTGCAGGAACAGCATTCGCCCCGCAAACACTCGACTTTGGCTCCAACTCATTCGATAGCCCAGGTCATTCAAGAGTACCTCTCTTCTCCGTCGTCCTCGGGACAGCCGGGGAACCGCGATCTCTCCCTCACCATCAATTTGTGGTGCGGGAACCATGATCCTTCCAACGGTCGGGCTGTCATCATCATCGGCATCTTCCTCATCCACCCCAACGTGGTCCTTGATATATCGATTCCCAGGGACGACTCGACCCGGGTCCCTCATCTGAACTGGAAAGTATGTCCGGGGGTATACCGCATTAGACATCCTGTAGGAGTCTGGAAGCTCGTCCATATCAACCTGGTCCAGCATGACCTTGACTCGTACGCGACAACCCCGCTGGTTATCGTCCACGAGGATGAACTTGCGGCGTTTGCCCTCGGGCAGTGTGCCAAAGAGCGCATCGCTGCTTGGGTTGCGCTCGTCATCGTCATCGTCCACTTCTTCGATCCGGTTCGAGGAGGTCGCAATGGTCGGGTGGCGCCCGAGAGACCCGAGGCCACTATCTCGGAGTAGTGGTGGTATCGAGGGACCCCTTGGTCCCCCTGCGGCCGTCGCGGGGGTCGGATAGGAAGGATAGCCATGGAACACCTGCGCCGTGCGGATGTCCGTTGGTGATGGTCCGGGTTGCAGACCATCCGAGACAGGTGGACGACTGGTACCGTTCGTATAGTCAGTGGTACCTATTATGTATGATAGGACAATATATAAATTAGCCTACGCAAAACTGCAGGTGGCACGTCATGTTTGAAAGCACAGCGGGGTACAGCGTCAACGTAGCATAACAGGCGAAACATGAACCGGGTATGGGCAAAACAACAAACAACAAAACGACAAGAGCCTCTCCCGACCAAATAGAAATACATGGGGTACGGTATCCATATCACTTGGAAGAAAGCACACCAAATTCACGTCCGTTCGGTGGCGATCTGCCTACTTAGACATGGCAATAAAACATCGAACAATACAAGACAAACCGACATGAGCACCGTCGATTCATTCAAACAGTGTCAGGGACAAGCACATCATGTGTGGTGGAACATACCGCTAGCTTCTTCGTGGCCTGCACTTCCATCTGGCTGGGCATGGTGGTGATGTAGCTGAGGGGGGCCCATGGGCAATGGCCCTAGGCTGGGACGAGGACCGGGGGCGGGCATACTAGCACTTGGCAACCCAGGGCCAACAGGGGTGGAAGGCGCCATGTGAGGCGGAGGCACAGGCATCCCCTGCCGCTTGTTAATCTTGGCCATTCTCCTCACACGCCGGCTTCGAAGTCGAGGGTCCTGGTTGCTATTTCTCCAGCTATCCACTGCCCGCTGAATCAGCCCACGCTTGCCTCTCAGTGCCGGGTTCAGCTCCGCCAAGGCCCATCCAACAGCATTACATTCAGTTTCGTAGACCAGTCGATTGCCTCTGTACTGGTCCTTGCTGCAGCAGGCTCGAGGGTAAACGCAGTTCTCAGTCTTGAACTCCTGGCTTAAATTATCCACATTAACCGACTCAACGTCGCAGCGGATTGTATACTCCATCTTTACACGATCCCGAGAGTACTCAAACGCGATCCACTGGACACCATTGCTATCTTGTCGGACAACCAGGGGGGTTGTCGCAGGGATTGGTCCTGGTGCCGCACTAGAGCTGGCCCCGACATTAGAGTTTTGATGGTGAACAGCACTGGCTGACAAAGGTGCACCACTAGCTGCTGAATGAGGGGGGTTTAGCATCGTTCTCTGAGGGGGCGTTGGCTGTTGTGCCGCAGCTGAGTTTGGACTACTTGACAAGTTCCCTGTTGGAGCCTGAGCCGGGTGATGCGGTAACTGCGCAGTGCTTGTCGGATGGGGCACCATCAGTGGCTGTGTCGTAAGAGGATGCTGTTGGGGAGACGTATTCGGTCCATAGGGTGGAGGCTGTACGGGATTCATGGGTGAGTATGGCGGATAACCATACATTTGCGAGGTCATTTGGGGCGACTGTGTGTATATGCCGCGATTATGCTGTTCCTGTGTTTGGGAAGCTACTGAAGCAGGCGAGCTGGATTGGGGCGTGTGATAAATCGGAGGATACGGCCGCTGCATTTGCGTTGCTGTAGCCATCATTGCTGGCGGTCCTGAACATGAATCAGCCTCTGTGGCATGGATTAACCAGAACAACCTTTGGAGCATATTGTTGTCACTGCTGCTGCGGATACCATTACACCAAAAATACCAAAGAAACCCCTTACACCGCACTTACCACTTGATGAGTACTGACTGGGTGCGCTTGCGGTACTATAAGAGGAATGAGATGAATAGTACGAATGCTCTGATGGCGGGCCGTAGGAGTGCTGATGATGTATAACTCCGTTGCCTAAGGCGTGATGTGCGTATGAACCAGACGGTAGGGTAGTTGAAGGCTGATGTGGTGATTCTGGTTGTTTCTGTGGCTGGACCAGAAGAGTTGGTCGAGGATGGTGAAGATGAGGCGGTTGCGGGCCGGGATGGCGATGCTGGGTCAAACGACAGTTAGCGCTAGAACCTGAATTATTCTCGAAACAAATTTCAGAACCCGAGTGTTTGAATATTGCAGCTTGCGATATAATCAAGGAAACACTTAAGTATGTGCATGACAAAAAAACAATGTAGTTGAATCAGAAACTGCATATGGAAGCACAAATCAGAGAGTTGCTTATTCTATAAGCAAGGGACCAAGCACACATATGGTTGAGCATCTGTAGGAGACAGCCCGATGCGTATATGGCGGCATACACGCAATAAGGAAAGCACTTGCCACAGGCAAGCATCGTTGGTAAAAGGTTGGCAACTCTGGACCTATTCGCACCTCCCAAAACCTCGGCGGGTATGATGTCCATCCTGCTGGTAAGTTGTGTCATTCAGGCAACAAGAATGACCCTCCTTTATCGCCTCCAAGGGAACGTGGAAGGAAGACACGTGGGATCCGAATCAGATTCATAGTTTGGTCGAACAGTCAAAGCCGAGTCAGCGATGACTTTCTGCAAGCGCGGCTAGAGAGCATGGCAGATGTGGGCATGACCCGTGCTGAAGAAACTTTCCAGCCCCATTGGCGGCTCTAGCAAGAATATTCCGAATGTCGAGGGTGAGACCACAGGGTGTTCGACGGACGTCGGAAGACAAGGCGTCCGTGCATTGATTATTGGCGCATTGCGGGAGACGTCATCGCAGTGGAAACAGGCGACACGGTCAGGTTATCGTATACGGTCTCAACAAGCAGGGAGGCCTGCTTTACTGAGGACCAAATGCCCACATACTCCCGGGTTCTCCCCAGTAGCACTCATGCGCAGTAGGCCAGGTTGACCTTGGATGAAGGCAAAGGCATGGATTGATGCAGGCATGAGAGGCAAAAGACCAAGATAGAAAGGTCGGAGAAGGGAAAAAGAAAATACTGGAAAAGAAAGAACAACATAACAGGCAAAAAAGCACTGGTTTCTAGCACTCAAGAAGAGATGAGAGAATACACTCACAGGATCTTCCACTGGCTCGTCCTTGTACTTTGGTGCAGGTGGATGAGCTAGGTCAGTCTGAACCATGCCGGTCATGACTGACCTCGAATGGTCCGGGATGATAATCCTTTTTTATTTTTTTCTGACCTTCCTTTGCTTTCGTCCTTCAATGGCTTCAGCTCATATAATAAGGGGAGGGAAATCTAGAGGAGAGACATAAAACAAAGTTCAGCTTGGGTGCGGGAGAGAAGAAAGGATGCGCGTAAGAAGATAGTCCGGAGGGAGGGGCCCAGAAACGGGGGTGGAAAGGATATCTAGACTAGACTAGAGAAGAGCTTATGAAAAGGAAAGCTAATGAGAGGCTGAAGGGTAACGGTAGTGGCTCGTTGGTCCGTGTGGTTCTGAACTGGGGGGGGGGAGGGGGGGGAGGGTGGAAAGGAAGGGGGCCTGGCGATGATGGGCCTGGATAAACGGTGCAATGCGAGTGTGCAAGTGTAATTGTGGAGGGTCCAGGGTCGTTATTTAGCTGCGCTGGAGACCCATCCTTCAGTCAGAGGAGTTGTTCACCAGCTAGCTATTCCGGAACAGGTATGGGGGGAGATGAAGAAGTCTGGGAGAAATAAATTAAAGCAGGGAGAAGGGGGACGGAAAGAAAAAAAAATAAAAAAAAAATAGAAAATAGAAAAGGGATCTAAATGAAAAAAAAAAAAATAAAGGGTAAAAATGAATAAATAAAAAAGAAATAGGGAAAGAAAACAGACAAGTGACGGAGGGCAGGACAGCGTCAGAGGGATGCACTGACTAGTGGGGATATCAGGATGAGCTTGTAACTAGCGGGAAGGTGGTGTAATATTGACCAGGATGGATGCAGGACGCAGGAGCAAAAACGCGAATGCGACACTTTGAGGGTCTCTGAAGAGGATTGACTCGAACAAAGTGACTCCTGACGACAGTCAGGCGCAATTGAAAAGGAAAGAGATGGCTGACTCGATGAATTGTCTTTTGGGGGGATGATTTGCAGGATGCAGTGGCAGAGTCAAATCCAAGAATAAAATGTTGTGGAAAAAGGAAAATAATGAAAGTCAACGGGCCAAAAAAAGGTGAGAATTCTGGGGAAGAGAGAGTGAGGATAAGAGAGGGAGAGAGAACCAGTAGACGCCGAGCACGGCATACAGTAGGGGACTTTTCTTTGCAAAAAAGAAATATTAGATGCAGCGGATGACGGTTTACCTGTAGGCCACCACTGACATGGCTGCGACCCCGGGAATTGTTTGACGATAAGAACCGTGGGTAGTAGGGATAACTGGCAAGGAAGCAGAACGTACCTTTGACCCGTCGAGGTTAAAACTAGGAAAAACTGTCCAGCAAAACTGGCAACTGGACTAGATTAGCAGCAGTATGAGGGATGATGGGCAAAGCTTAAAGAGTAGGAAAAAAGAAAGGTAGAACAAAGACAGTAGACAAAGAATCGGAAACAGCCGCCAAGCGTCGAGATCTCAAAACTTTGAGGAGGTCAAGCAGATGGGGTTCCGTTGTTTCGCTTGCGTTTTTGTACTTGAGATTGTGACGACCAGAAATGGATCGGAGACTAACGCGCCAGTGAGAACGGTGATCCAAAAAGGGAGCAGTTGGTGGTTAGGTCTGGAGAAGTATCTACTGATCAACCGAGTGTCGAACGGTGTATGTACAGAGAGTAAGTGGTATATGGTCAGTGGTAATCCGCATGGCTTCTCTCGCCTATCATGCTGCAGACAGCTAATTATAACAGGCCGGGAAATAATCTCATGAAATTACTGTGACAATCATGGCTTGCGAGCTGCCACTTAGGAGGCATGAGTAGTGGAGGGAGAACATGCAGCTACTTTTACCTACTTGGTAGTAGGTTAGTAGCAAGCACCTGCCACCCACACCACCCTAAGAGCAGAGTGGGTGTGCGGGTGTGTGTGCATCCGGCCGGGTGAGTGTCAATATGGCCGTGACAGATCGTGTTGGCCGGGATTATTAATCAGCTGTCATTTTCTTCTTCTTTTCTTCGTTGGCATTTTCATTTTTCTTCTTTGCATTAACTTCGCCCAGTCAACGCTATCTCGAGTCATTTGGCCAGTCATCTTGGAGCTGCTGTCTCTGCTAATACAATAAAAAAAAGATTACAAGCCCCAAACATCTCTCAAAGTAGAAGCATGAAGAGAAAAAGGCATTCACATTGTCGAGGATAATGATTAGTGCTGGACTAAAAGGGAAAATGGAAAAAATGAAAAGGGCAAGAAAAAAAATGGAAACAGATAGAAAAAGAAAATTTCCCATTGGCATGTTGGGCTCCAATACCCACACAGGTGTTTTCAGGTTTGAGAGGAAAGGGCAGAAAATGGATGGTCTGGATTAATGAAGATTGGCGCCGGGAGGATTAGGCACAGTACAGTAGCCGTTGTTAGTTTGAAGTAGGTAGTCGGATTGAACGGCACCGTCCAAACATCTTGTTATAGATGCGAAGTATAATCCTCGTCTTTGGGAAATAACTGGATATCATGGGTTTGGAAGAACCACTTGGTCGAGTCCACCATCGGAGTGGGATCTCTCAGAGATTCAATCCAGGTACCACCGGGTAAGAGCTTGATTCCCACCCACACGAGTCGCTGCCTAGGATATGGCCGGCCACCCCCGGTCATGCTTAAAGGGTCATAGTTTAGAGCTCACAATGGTGATCGTTATTGATAATGAGCTGCTGAAATGGCACCCTGGATTGACAAACCATAATTGCCATGCCCTGAACAGCCCAGCCCAACTCCACTTAGTAGACATGGCCTGTGACGCTGGCTCGATGGATCGGCCCAGTCACCACAGCTCTAGCCATCTATTGATCCCGCGATAGTGCGGATGATCCTGTCATGGAGGACGTTATTTTCGTCGTTACCGTTGTCTGCGTTTGCTGATATGGGTTAAATTGTTCCAGACTGTTTGTTCGATATTCCTTCTTATTGAATAATTCCAGTTCAGTCAATATCACGGCCTATTTTCTGTTTTGATTTTCCTTTTTCCTATTTTATAATCCCAATCTGTCAATTTCATTCGCCATTTGTTTCCTCTCCGAGGATTTTAGCCCCATCTGTCTGCCTGTTTTTCTTCGTTCGCGGGACATCCAGTCAAAAATACGGAATACGCGACTCGATCTGGTTACACTCCGGTATGAGAACGACCGATCTGACTTGCTGCTGTCAGCCTTGTTCCCACATCTCAGAGGCGCCACTCAACGAATGGCACCCCTCCCGAGCCCCCCATCAATCAAGATCAACTCCTACTCCTACCACCACACATACGCACACAAAGACCAGTGGCATCTGAGGTATTCCGTAAGCCCCAGCAGATTCAAGTTTGCTTCATTTCTTTTTTGACTTTTTTTGTTTTTCCTATTTCAATTTTGCTTCCCTTTCTCTCTTCGGGATGACGAAAGTTTGGCAGTTTGCGAGTTGATGCTGTCATTAACCGTCCAATCCTATCCATCCCTCCTCGGCCCGGTTCGAATAAACTTGAGACAGCCTAACGGTGTCCGGTCGATTAATTTATTACTCACCCTCCCCATGCGGATGATGATGATGATGATGATGATGATGATGCTGCTGCTGCTGAAAGGAGAGTAATGACGGTGTAACCCCAGCTCTTGGGCTGGAAAGCGGCCGATCAATCATCATTGGCACTTTGGTGGGCTCCTGATCCTGCCGCTTCCCGGCGACTAGCTTCCTGCATCATGCTTCCCAAGACACCTTCATACGTTGAGAAGTGATGAACCTACTCTTACCTTTGGGCGATCGAAATCATCCTTGAAGCCAAGTGCAGTGTCCATGGCCAGGAGGAGCCGGTACGCCCCGGATGGGCCAACGGGGCCGTGGCCACAACACCACTTTATTTATCGTAAGGAAGGGTCATGATTTGATTCTCGTTGACGGGGCGCGGCCCAAATTTTCTTTCTCTCTTCCTCTCCATATTCAGCCGGGGACGCTCATTCAGTCAGCCTGCCAGAATTCACGGGACAGCTCCACTGAGGCTTCCGTGCAATCAGACGGCAGCTCCACCGTTAGTGGGACTTGGCGATTGGGTGGTATGGGAGGTGAAATCAAAGAAAGTGGTGCTTCGACGATTCTAGCCTCCCGGAGAGCAACTAAAGCAAACTGGCCAGATAAGTCAAGTTACTTTCTTTTCCCAGCCACACTGTTACAGCACGATTCTTCTGGCCCATGCCCGCCAGAAAATGGGGTTTCCGCTGTTCTTTTCCTGTTCGAGAAAAGCATAAGAATGTCCTCGTGCACCCACTCCCATGTGAAGTTTGAATCGGACGGCACAGAAGGGCCTCCCGTTATGGTTGTCTCGGAATATATGTTTAAAAGGGGGACCGGCCGATGCTGTGTCCGCAGCAGCAGCACCACCACCAGCACCAACAATGGGAAGGTTTACCACTTCCTCGACGTGCAGGAGCTAAAGTAAGCATGCCGTGTACTTTGCTGCAGCCAGACTGCAACTGTTGGGACGCCTTTTGTCCGATGGCTACAATGGTGAACTACCACCTCTGTGCGGCGTAGTAGATGAAGAGGACTAGCTAGCTGTCGAGCACGGAGTACGTGGAGAACCAACAAAGGAGGGGTCGGATCCGGACCTGGTGTAGCTTGTGGGGAGCTCCAGACTCAGCTTTGGTCTCCAACATGCTGCTGCTGCTGTTGTTGCTCCGTCTTCTCCTCATCCTCCGTCCACTCAATCCACCGTTAGCCCGTCGGTTCGGGCCATAACATATCATTGACGCCATCGCAGGAATACTAAGATTACTGAGTGGATAGCTGGTATCGTCTCCTCCCTCAGAGAACCGAAAAGGGACACAGGAGACTTACCAGACGGGGATTAGTGGAAAAGGTCGTCGTAATCCAAGCTCTCCCTCTTTCGGACAAGTTCGCAAACGCTGAGTTGCTGCGCCGCCCAGTCGCAAATCTCACCCTCCAGGAGGCCATGTGTGTGGCATGCTCACCACCTTAGCTGCCTTTAGCGTCGGGTTGGTGGAGTCCTTGGGCTGAACGCAAGCAACGGTGTCAGACCTCCTCCTCCCCTGTCATTGGCATTGCTCGTTGTGATCGATGCAGGGTGCTAAAGTCCGCGTTCGCACTATGTGGTAGTTCCGTGACCCCCCGGTCGCTCTCCTGGTCTCCGCCTTCTCGCTCTTCATTTCGTGCTTCTTTCCTGTCTCACTTTACTGCTATGTCGGCTTGCCTTTTCTGATTCTAGTCTTCATTTCCAACCATATGCCCCTCTTTTGCTACTCTCCTGATGACAGGAGTTGTTTCTTCTGATTGGTCTCTTTCCTCGGTCCCGGAAAATACTACTATACCTCGCTAAGTAATCGCTCTGGAAAGGACAGTTCCAGAACTACCACGGATAGGTGAGTAGTACGGATACTGCGACGTTAGACCCATCTGAACAACCATTGTCGAGACTCGAGACTTTGGACCAACTAAGTAGCACCGAGCTTGCGATGGAACCTAAGCAGGTACAGAAGAGGGGAAGGAGCGGAGCGAAGCTTTGGCGAACGATTGGGGCCCGGAGCCGGGCAATGTGACAACCGGAGGGTTACGAATCCAATCCAGCATTGGCGGGTGATGGTGCTCCGCGTACCTGATGCTGAACCATACTGGATACGCTGGATGGCGATGAGTGAGACTCTCCTTTGTAGGACTTTACTCATCGCGTCTCAGCCATTGCCTGATCTACAAATGGTGGTAGGCTCTGCAGTCACCAGACCTCGCGACCGCCACAATCATCGCCTACTACGTACTTACCGTCACCGAGTGGTCCAACAAGCGGCTTCCCTGAATGGGTCCTATCGGGAGGCCGTGCTCGGGAGAATTCAGGCGTGTCGATTAGAGGGTGGGAACTTTGAATAGATTAGGTACGGTAGCCCCAGTGCGCGGGACTAACTGGATGGTAGTCGGAGGAAAGGCAGGTCCTCGAAGTTTGTTTGGTAGGTGTAGGTTAGATAAAGTGGGTATGGAACCATCGATGCGAGATGGGTGTGAGGTTGAGTTCGAGCTGCGACACCTTCCGACAGGTCGAGATAACTACTCACTACTCCATACTCACTAGTTGAAGGTTTACCTGTTCGAAGGACCGACGACTGGTTCGATCTGGGCGGTGAAACCTCGTATTTCTCCTCGGAAGAAGATCGCACGAACGAACCTAAGTACTTCCATGAAACAAAAATCTAGAATCAATGCCTCTCTCGGGAGCACGGCAACATCGGGGAACCCGTCGGGCCCAGTTGCTTTATGTCTCTCATCCACAGACTTTGTCGTAGTCTACTCATAGTGCTGTGGACTAGCAGATGGAACAGAAGGTTTCCAGCTGAAACCGATAACGAACCAAGGAAAGGCAGGTTGGGTGCCAGGGAACAAAAGCGGAGCCACACTGAGATCGCAAAACAGGAACTAAAAGGGGAGCCCACTTTCAGCCCGAATCACGGGGGGCTCCGTTTCCGACTCCGACAGGGAATCAGAACCCCTGGGTGGATCATCCAATTTTTCCCTTTAATATCATCGGATCGACTGGGGTGGAAGTGAGGTGTTTATTATTATGGAACCAAGCAGCAAGAGCCGACACAGCAAGTTGTTCACACTTTACAGGTTGAATTGAACCACGGTCTGGTTCTACGGAGTAAAGTCCGTACGCAGTAGTGGTTGGTACCCGTCGAGCTGAGCTCGCTTGAGACGGAGGTCAACTCCGGCGCTTGCGCTACCGCAAGTACTTACTGCCTACCAATGGCAGTGGTTGTCGAGGAACACGACACGACAACCTACGAATTCTGTTCCCCAGTATTAAGTAGGCAGGTTATGCGAAGGTTGTCTGGCTGCCTCTAACTCTCCGTTGTACTAGCATGTGTTTCTCGAACCTCCCATTCTGAAAAGTTAGCGCGCAATCACTGCGCCGCATTAATCTTCTCCGTCATTCTCACCTTCAGTAAGCAAAACAAACAAAAAAAAAGACGCATCCAGCTGCGGTGGGACCCGTTCTGGCTCGTTTCCCTTCTCACTTAATTATTATCATGGCTAGCATGCTTCAGGTGGTGATCGGCAACTGGGGGCCGTATGCACATCAGGTTGGCCGCTGCTCTTAACGACCGTACTAAGAACAATCCTTGTCCGACAGATCAACTATCTACGGATAGTGAGCTTGTCAAAGTAGCCTTCTACAAGTATACCTGGATGGATCAGCTCCCTAGCATGCATAAGTGTCTGTGCCGTCAAGACACCCTCTCCGCCTTATGTACGAAGCACGGATGGAAAATCTCAAGTGCAGCAGTTGATGATGGATGTACCTCTTGATTTCTAGTGTGCGGGCTACAAGGTAAGTAGTATGCTTACCTTTTTTGCCTCTGATCTTGATCTTGTCTATTACATGAATCCTTATGTAATGGCGATGTCATGTCTCCATCATCCCCCGATGGCTAAAGTAATATCAGCCAATATTATAACCATCGAAATATCGCAACGGAGATCTTTGAACCGGTAAATAATAATAGCACGACGGGCCAGCAATCACCATGTTTGCCCCGCAGTCCGACTCCACCCGTTATAGCCTACCAGCTCCCACCCTCCATTTATTGAAAGCCGAGTCGTCGAAAAGCAAAAAAGGGAGAAAAAGTCATTATAACATCATCCTGCAACGTCCAGAACAACGCTGGTCTAGCTTGATGCAGAATCCTTTTAGGCGAACGAACGAACTTACGATGGTCGAGTCGCCGTTGGGGGACTACCATTACTAAGTTTGGTGTGTCGAGTAATTATATCATGTGTGAGTGGGTCTGCCGCTCTAATACGTAGGGCATCACCTCTTTTTTATTTTATTATTATTTGTTTTCTTTCTTTTTTTTTTTTTCTATTAGCACTAAACCTCCCTTGTATCTAGTCCGATAGTCCGTGAGGTATCTAGACTAGGAAGTGGATGAAGGTGTGTGGGATGTATCGATTCGAGCGACCTAGACTTTTTGATGGCCGTACCTGAGCAGTGAGCAATGCCCATCCACTCCACCACCACCACCAAGCTCGTAGTTGATACACCACGACATGCATACACCATCTACCAACAGAGTATCTACTAAGATAGTAGTGCAAAGCCTCCCCCCTCCCCCCATGTCAGGCAGTTACCCCATGGAGAGAGAGAAAAAGAAAAAGACCGGATGGACAAATAATCCCGATCAACAACCGGCTGGACCCATCTTGGCAGGAGATGCAAGGCAGCGCCAGCAAAAAACCAAATTGAAGAGAACAAAGAAAAAGTCACCCAATACATTTCGCGCCCACGTATTTTCATTTTCTTCGCTCCATGGTTACCCTGATTTGAAATCAGATGGGGTTTATGAACCATGGTTCGATGTTTTGACCCCTTTCTTCATAGGTAGATTAATATAGTTGCATTTCCTTTTCTTTGAACTTCGGGAAGCTTAAATGTCCGATATTCGACCGTGGACTTACATCCGATGTTATGTAGCTAGGTAAGTAATTGTATGTGTATGTATGTATGTATGCGTGTTGTCCTGTCACTCACTGACTATACTTACTACTGCACAGCGCTGGGTTTTACACCGAGTTATACATCTGTATGTACTGCATAGTTATTAATTTCCCTGTATCTGGGGAAGATACTTCGGCCGGAGCTCTCTATCTCATTTGTTTCAACTACCATCACTTTGTTCAGTCCAAATACTAAGACTTTGCTCCTAACCTCCTACAAGTAGATACCTCGAACAATTCCACATCAAACACCCGATTGAAAAACTACCAAACATGATCATCGTAACGTAACACCAATACTCAAACCAGCACATACATACATACAATCAAATCAAACAATCAAACAATACGGAGTAGTCATCATCATAGTTAACTCCCACGAATGTCACCCTACATGCCGATCCCTACTCAAATCTGCCCTCCCACACCCCTTATGTAATTCCCTCCCTTTCCTCCAATCCAGACCCCCCGATAATATCAACCTTGTCCAACCACGCATGACAGGAGGGGGTTATTTTCTCCGCACCGGGCAAGCAAGCAAGCAAGCGGACAGATGGATGGATGGAGGGATGGAATGACGATTCGGGTTTTGACGTCTACGTAGATGGGTAGGTAGGTAGATAGGTAAGAGCCGCCCGTAGATTGATGCTTGGTCATAGAGATGGGTTTAAATGGATAGCTTGGTATATGGGGACTTCTCTGTCTTCTCCATTCAGTCTATAGTAGTAATGCTTCTCTAAACTGCTCATTCTTACACTGTAAATAATGTACTCCGTATGAAATCTTGTTTCAACTCTGTCAAATTATTCCCAAGGATGACAGATGTTTGCTTCCCTCCCATCACCACAATAAACTGAACCCAGAACCAGAGTTGAAATCTAGGCTTCCAGATTATTACTTCACTCCCCAATGAGTATGTCCCGTCGGGCGGACATTCAGCAAAGCAAGCAAGCAAGCAACAATCTCCGCGTTAAATTGGACATACGTAAGTGGTTGAAGGAGAAGGATTCAGCCTATCTACGGAAGGTTGCTATTCACCATAACTTGTAGACAAGTCACTTCTTTGAATCTTAATTGGTATAGAGAGAAGGTCCTCTATCTTTTTGCCTATTTCGACCTAGTATAACTACTAACTCTCCCACACACACACTCTCTCTCTCCCTCCCATGGGGAATGGAAACAATGTAACGAACAAATAATACAATACCATACATAAATACAACATAGCTGTCAGATTTTAGTCCGGTAAAATAAGTAAGTAAAGAACAGAAACAGAAACATGTGTTCTGAGCCCTAAGGGCTGGCCGCCGGCGCAGCAGCCAGCCAGTGGCCCAACGACTCATGCCCTCTTCCCTCCGGACTAAACTATTAGTAGTGGTGGTGGTTGTTGTCTGGTGTTCTGGCCCCACCATCCGACGCCGCCGAAGATGGAGAAACATTGAACAATTCATGGGAAAATGGGAGTCTGGATGTGTGTGTGTGTGTGTGTGTTTAGGGAACTAACTAGTTAGTTTGTTACTCGCTAAGTAGTTGGTACTATTCAGCTAGTAGATAGATGAGAGAGGGATATTTTTAGCTAATGACTAAGAAGGGGAATATATAAAAATTAGAAAAAGAGAATACGGAGGTGAATAAGTAATAGTGACCATCATGATCACAAACAGAAGGATGTCACGCCGGGTCCAGACGGGACTACTAACTGTTGATCGGAGGGGGAAGATGGAGTTGGAGAGGGGAGGGGAGGGGGGAAATGAAATGAATGGGATTGATTCATCTTCTCGAACTAACACTAACTAACTTATCCGTAAGCTATCACACACACCTTGCATTTTTTTCCACACACACATACACACACAATACCACTCACTCACTCAATCATTTACTCGCCCCTCCTCTCCAGCCTGACAGCCTGCATGACTAGGTACATAGGGCATGTAGGTCTTAATTAAATTGACGTACTGTGATTCGTGGCCGTTGGTTAATTTTTCTTTTGCTTTTTTATTTTTTATTCTTTTTGGTGCGCAACGATAGGTATGTAACCTTGACTTGCGTACTAAACTAAAGTGGACTTAAAACCTATCTAGTAGTTGGTTAGTTTGGATAGTTGGTGGTGAGTCTAGCTATGTTCTAAGCTTGTAGGGAGGGGGTGTAAAGTGTAAGCTTCTTTGTCCAAATTTCCCTCTCCTTCGCCCTTCCCTTTCCCTCTTTTTTTTTTTTTTTTTTTTTTTTTTTTTTAAAAAAAAATTTTCTTTCTTTCCCACGCACTGACGGCAGCTAATAACGGGTGATTGTCGGCCATCCTGGTGGTGTGGATTTTCCCGAGCCTTCTTTTTTTTTTTCTTACTTTTTTGTTTCATTGCTCATCATTATTATCCCGTAGGTAGTGGAAATTGCATTTTCGCTTATGAAATTTGAGGCACGTACGTACATGGGCGCCTGTCTAGATCGTCTATTTCAGATGAAATTATGTTTTATTGCTCACTAGCTAGTGATCTGGTTAGTTGTATCAGTAGTCAGGGGATTCACTAGGAATTTCTATCAATCCCATCTAGACCAGATATTATTTACTTTCCCACAAAGTAGTTCGTAGTTATACTACTTACTGGCTCCCAAGTAGTCTGTAAACCAAATACATATTTACATACATACAGCAAAGTGTACTCCGTACCTGACATGGCACACGGCATAGCATGGCATGGCATATCCGAGCACACGAAACAAAGCAAATCAGCCTTTTTTACCCTTACTTTCCCTTATCCTTTTTCTCAAAAACTCAATCTGGCGCAGCGGAAACCTTAACTCGGGTGACTCGGGACGACATGCGCTTTTTTTTTTCTTCTCTTGTTGCTGCCAAATGAAACAATGATGCAGAAGCGTTGGGAACGGTTCTTCGTGCTTGCTTGCTTGCTTGCTTACTTTTCCCGGTGCAGGACTGGGTTGTTACTTACTGTAGGTATTGATTGTTACCAGAGTAGATATATACTTCCATTGTGAAGTGAGTCCGGTATATGTGAGCTATATGGGGTCCTCTAAATCGAGATACTAAGACTTGTCTTACTGATTAGTCGTGGCAGAAGCAGCCCTACGTACCCCATTACACATCAACATCTGAAAACCTAGATAGATTATGTATATGTGTGGTAGTATAGTATAGTATACTATACTATAGTAATCGTAATCGTAATAGTAGAACCATTCTATTATCCTACCCATGCATATAGGAGAGAGCCTTACGGTGGAGGTCAACTAACTAAACCATGTAATCACCCCATCTCCAATATAACCCACCAACCTATGAGATTATGTCCTGAGCCAACATGTCTCTCCCTACTAGATTAGCCAAATCCAACGAGATAACTTTGTTACTAAACCACTCACTATAACTAAAGTGAGGCATATTATCACCCATATACTACTCTACCCCCTCATCGACCCACAAGGCAGACAGAAGAGCCCATTTATCTACCTTCCTATTTGTCTCTAGGGGACTGATCGCATCACACTGGCAGTGGCAGATACTCCTATCTGTCTACATACGCACTCACCTCTCCTCTTCTTACCCATCCAAGCAAACAAACAAACCACCAAACCTTCCTCGTTTCATCCATTCATTCTTTCCCTTATCCGTCCTTTTAAGCCGGCTGGAAAACACATAAACTCAATCCTCCAAGCTTCAAGCCCGATACTTGATTTTATTGCCTTGTCCGGAATATTCTCCTTTCTGGTCATGGGACATTACCTCCTGAGAAAGAAATAGAACACGGAAACCTGTCTTGTCTGAACTGGTTGAGACTGACAGGCTACTAAGCTGACCAGATCTGTTTGGTTTGGTGTGGTTGGGGAAGAGAAGAGGTGAGGCGCCTCCCGCTTGCCTGCCTTTTTTTCTTGCTTGCGTGCTTGATTGATTGATTTTGTTTGCTCGGTTGCCTTGAGAGGGCTTTGTTCGGCGAAAAGAAATCTTAGGACGCCACTGAAGTCATATTATATGGTTAGTATTATCTATTACTGAGGTACGTATACACTTGCTTACTCTACTTATCTTTTCTAAAATATTGAATGGTGGGAGTGAGTTGGCTGATGGAGTTTCTTCTGTCTATCTGTCTGTCTGTCTGCCTGTCTGTCTGCCTGTCTGTCTGGGTTATGTATCTATCTATCCTTTGTGATGCGTAGATGGATGTGCATGCATCGTCTTGGTGAAGGATACATGTACATATAATTGATAGATAGATAGACAGACAGGTACTTAGGAACATACGAGTTACTACAATTTTCATCCCTCATTCGTCCTATTTTGTCCGAGTCCTGCGACCACCTCCCCAATCAACAATCAGGTGGCAATGACATGACATATGCCCTTAACACACCAAACCATTTACATCGCCCATCTATACTATAATACTTTCAAGACTTGAAGCAAAGCATAAATGCAGTCAGTCATCGGCCGACGAATGAAATATGCCATGACATCTATCTACCTACATCAACCTGACCGGTATCCCATCCCTCCCGGCATAATCCCCCAGTGGACTACATTACTCCACTTCTGGGCTGACTATACTATCCTCCCATCACCTAATAAAGCACTTCCCCAAGCCCAGTCCCTCAAACTTCAAGGTAAGTACAATAATAAAGAAGTTGACTATTATTCCATCCCAACCCGACCTAAAACCCACCCCCCACACACACGCAGATTCGTCATGCTTCATTTCCACATATTCCTAATTTATTGGTCTTCACATGCGCATCGGAAACAAGCAGATAAAAACAACTAACTAGAACCATTAACTAGGAGAGAGAGAGTGTGTGTGAGATCTATTGTAATCCGGACTAAAGAGAGAGTTTAGTTTGCCCCCTTCAACCCCTTTCTTTTTCACTCAGTTCAATACATGAAATGACATTCTCTATACCCATCTTTCTCTCCACCTTCCTTTAAGTGATATGTTTTACCCAGTGGTGCAGGGAAGAACATCTACTGTAATAGTAATAAGTAACAAGAAAAAAGGTAAAGAAGCGAAAAAAGAGGGAATGTCACACATACAACTCTACACTTAGCCATGCCATGCCATGCCATGCAGCAGACACGACACCCAAACCCAGCCAGTAAAAAATAAAACGGCAACTTGCCACAGCAAACAAAAACACACACACACAACAGAACAAACAGGGAGAGGGAGAAGGAGAAGGTAAAGAAAAAGGGAGGGCTACTCTAGGCATCGAGAGAATGATACCCCAATCCAGGCAGAGGAGAGGAGAGGAGAAGAGAGAGAGAGAGAGGGTCACACAAGACATGACACATTGACGAGGTGGGAGAAAGTTTGTCTAGACTGTAAGTACTGTAGTTTTCCTTGAACACGCGCAGAAAAAGTTGGATCAACCACTGAGGAAGGAGACTCAGGTAGGACGAAGTGTAACCAGGGCTTGGACGGAGTCAGAAGACCGTTTGGGGTGTGTCCTCTTCCTTTGACGAGATACTAGTAATATGCTCTGTTATTTTCTTTTCTTTCTCTGTTCTGGGAAGTCGCGCATTGCCACTGCACTGACATCTCGCGCTAGTGATGTGAGAGAGTTACCTTTTCTGCTTCCTTTCTTCTGTTTTGTCTCCCTTTCCAAGGTGGATGAAGTGGCACACATACTACTTCCTATTTACTACTTACTCCGTATTGTGTACACCACATGCCGTAGAACCAGTTGACATTCTAACGCTTCCAATTGTAATTGCTTGACTTGTTTGATTGCGCGTGCATCCAGGTCATTGCGTCTAATAGGCACTGCCATAAACCATACATTCCTGTTCCTTCAATCCCGAGCAACGCCGGTCCGCTGTTGTACACTCATTCTCTATTCCTCCCAGCTCGTGATCTGGACCAGCATGTAATCACGTGAACAATAGAGGTATTGCAACTGAGGAAATGACCAAATAAACAAAAACAATATTGGAACAAAAAAAATGCACAGACAGAACATGATCATACTGCTGCTTTAACGGGTTCAGTCGAGGTCTTGGACCCCGATTTCGTGTCAGGCGCACCCTCGATGGCAAGAGGAGTGGCAGCCTCGTCATCCTCGTCTTCATCATCACTCGAGGAACTATCCACTCTACGCCCGTGGCGACGGTCCTCCTCCCGACGTCGACGGCGCTCCTTCATGACCTCTTGCCGGCGAGCATCTACACACCTGTTTAGTACGTATTGTGATCCATGAATCTCTGAGAACTTACCTCGAATTTCCTGCGTCTTGACCGCATACGCTTGGATTTCCTCCTTGGTCAAGACTCGCAACACGATCACATACTCCGCTCGCTCCTCATACCGCTCTCGGCCAAGCTCCAAGGCAGCGGGGTTCACAAGCCGTCGGTCAATCTTTGTCCACCGGGCCCCAGGTGGGATGCCCTTCTTGTGCGCATCTTTCAATGGGGCCACGCCTTCTCGTACGGGATTGGGCTCCTCCGGGAACTTCTCACGGGGACGCTTCAGGATTCCTTTGGGCGCAGGTGGATCCTGATCTTTCGACGTGGCCTGCTCAGACTTCTGGAGCTCGTCTGGGCGGCCGACATCTGCTTCTTTGTGACGCGGCAAATCTTCGCTTCGGTGACGAGAGTGAGACCGCCGACGACGGGCGCGATCGACTGTCAAATAATGAGACGGTCGCTCGCTGCCACTGGCTGACACATCCGAGCCATCAGGCTTCCTATGCGCCGATGGTTCGCGCCGGTATTTCTTCAGGTCTTCATCCGAGGTATGCTCATCAGACTCGCTTCCTGAGCGACGTCTAGAAGGTCTGCGCGATCGACTGTGATGCCTTCTATACTCCAGATCCCGAGCGCTCCGGTCCCGGGAGCGATGACGGTCGGGCCGGGGTGAGAGATCATAGTCAAAGTCGTCCGAGTAACCAGTCGCGAGCACTGCGGTTCCTAGGCCGGTGCTCGACCCCGAAGCTGCGACAGCGCTCTTAGCAGAAGTTCGCCTTGAAGCACGATCGTCATAGGAGTGCCGGCTACTCGCATCGTCATCATGTCGCCGGTGTCGGCGATGGGGACCATGGTCGTACTCATCCCTATAAGAAGAGTAACCTTCATCGACATCTTGGTGCAAGGATACGGGGGCCCTCTGCCAGGACCGCCGCCGGGCACTCGACAGATCTACATCACTGTCAGCGGAGCCGTGTGTGGAACGCCGCACACGGCCGCCTTGGTCCAATTTGTCAAAGCCTCTCTGAGACGGAGGAGGCCCGACAGCTCGTGACTCCTTGCGAGGCAGCAAGTGAGGGTCATCAAGGCCAGTCAGACTAAGTGGTCTATTCCTTGGATAAGCTCCTCGCTCGTAGCGCAGCCTGGCAATTGAGTCTTTTTCCATCTGCTCCGATGCATTGGTATAAGAATAAGCATCATAGTCGTCGATATCCTCGCCTTTCCGGAGACCGCCAGTGGGGGGATACCGCAAACGAGGGCTATGCTCGTACACCGGATATCCACCATGAGGCACTCGTTGCCTTGCTCTCTCATGTGGGTCCAAGTGCCCAGTATCGCTGGCATAATCAATGTGGGAGAGATGATGCGGCCGGTGGTTTCGGGGCGAGGAGGCCGGTACAACGTAACGGTCATGGTCTCGACGCGGGCTAGGGGTTCGCTGGTGACCGGTGACAATGACGGGGGAGGCCCGGGACAAGGGCGATGCAGGTGTGTCATACCGACCGGAGGAATAGCGAGGATCCACCGCAGACATGGTGCTGCTCCGCACTCGCGGTCGGATGGCGTACTCGGTCCTCAACTTGGTCGAATGGCCGGGGTCTCGGTATGTTGTGGAAGAGATGGGTTGTGCTTCCAGTCGGGGTTCTCGCACCAGGCGAGGTTCGTAGGAAGAAGCGTAGTTGACATCGGCATGGTAACCCGGGTATGGCGGACGGCCGGCAGAGTGGTAAGGATCGTAGGAAGCACTGAGCTGCACGGTGCCGGTGGAGGCCCGCATAGGATCGATCATACGCGATCCGCTGGGAGACATGGGTCGGTAACGCGCAGCGGGACCCATCCTGAACCCTTGCAGCTACTTCAGATTAACAATGGGCTGCGAAGCGCTATTTCCGACCGAGGAAATGTGGGGTTGGGACAGCGCAAGTCGTTCAACAGAAGCTCCGCAGGAGGTTCCAAGGCCGAACTTGCAGTGAGGGCAGAAAAGAAAAGTAAGAGAGGACTTGGATAGATAAGAGAAGTGGATGAACGGACTTTTTGAGAGGATAAAAAAAGTCTGTGGGGGTGGGTTGGGTGTAAAGCCGTTCAGGCACCCGACGAGACGAGCAGTAGATGATAAAGAAGAATTATGCCAGAGGGGCAAAATGACCCCGTGATAGGCAAGGGGGAGGGGCAAAGATGCAGAAAAGAAAAAAGGAAAGAAAGAAAAATAAACGGAAGGGAGGAATTTGACAGCGATTGACAGGCCGATGCCCGAAAGGACAGACCAACCGGAGGGGGGGAATAGAGGGCGATATTTGAAGGAGATGCCGCTCACTGATTGATGGAACCAAACACTGGAGAGTGGATTTCAGGAGAAGGGAATAGAATGAAAGGATCAAAGCAAGTGCCGGAGATTCCACTCGGTGCGGGGAGGAAGAAGGGGAAGATAGATTGATGTGAAGATGAAGAGATGAAGATGAAGCGATCTTCAAGAATCTGAGGCGGAGAACGTGTGACGCAAGATGCGCGCGGAGGGGGGAGAAAAGGAAAAAGCACCAGAAACCAATCCGAAGCACACGGATTCCAAGCAGTATTGTTCCGAAACACGGACGAATGTCGATGGAAGGATAAATTTCTCCACTCGTAGCACTAGTGCTTGTCCGGAGCAGTGAACTCCAAAATTATTGTTGTCTGATATACAATACTGTCTGTTTGTAGTGTAAGTCCGTCCAGGAAAGAAGTGTGGAAGAGAAGAGGAAGGAAAGTAAGTAGATGCTACTACTCGGTACTAGTCAGAACTGTGGAAATGGCAGTTGGCCAACCACGGATTCGCAATCGCTGGTTTTCGGGTGGGAGCCGCACCGGCTTATCTCAGCAGCCCGCCTTGATTGACTAATTGGACTAATTGGGGTTGAAGCATCTCTTTCCCTCCCCAATTCATATCCCATCATGTCCATCATGATCTCGCTTTTCTTTGTCTCCCGCTTGGTGACTGGGCGTCGATAGGTATCACGGGTTCTGACTTTCTTGCCTTTTTCGTCAACCCTTCAAGCATTGTCGGTGATTCCCAGCTGAGGATGACGGCAGTCACAGTATCGTGTCAGTCCCACTCTCTGCCTACCCCCCCTCTCTGCCATCTTCCGTCTGTGGTGTAAAGACACAGACCCTCTTCACGGATTACTTTACTTACCGTGTGTACTAATATCCTTAGTCTGAAGACCATTTTATTAGTCCGGTCTCAACAGCCGATATTGTATGACTTTCCTGCTCCATCTCAGGCGCTCCAGCACCGCTGCCCTCCACCCACCCGGGTGCCCGGGCAAATCATCCGTGGCCTCGTACCCACCCTCTTCAGTTACGCCTCGCCAAGCTAGGAGCGGATGATGTCATCCCGGACGAGTCTGAGGCATTCGGTACTCTTTCGGTGGCCCCAGTATGGAGCCCACTGCCAGCCCGAGTAAGATTAAGGGCTCTGAATGGCCATCCCGGTGGAGTCGGGCGGAATTTCTAGAAGAATGGCTCAACCATCACTGTCTGTCGATCCAACGGGCGCTGCTAGCCTTCCATGAAGTTATTGACGGAAGTCCGGCACACATCTGCCTTGCGAGAATGGCGTCTGCCAGTTCCGCCGCTGGGAGCCACGTAACGTCCCGGGCGGCTTCAACCTTGATCAGCCGCCGAAGTCGCCTACACTGTGCCCTCCCGGGGTGGTTAGATCATTCTCGTCCTCTTTTCGAGCCATAACTAGCACCCCGTCTCCCGCTTCTTGCAAGCCAAGGGATGCAGATAACCTCGGGCATAAATTAGCCCCCTTGAAACAATGGGACGGGCGTGCTCTGGTCGGTTGAAGGTCCTTGCGGCGGTTGTTATCCACCCCAGTGCTACTTGACTTGCTTCACCGGACAAGCGAAGGGAGTGCGCGATTTGTTTCGGGCCCCTTCAGCACCCTGGCAATATCCTGCAATGGACGGGGAAGCAAATTCCTCTCCAGGCGCTCTCAAGCACGCTGCCAGGGAACGGAGTAAAACATCTTGGGTGTGGTGTGAAGGTCATAGGTAACACACACCTCCTTAGGCAGTCTGTCGTCTTGGGTTTCTCATTGCGCTCGTCTTCGGGTTGGGGGTTGACGAGATTATAGTACTCTGACATCTACACCTTCGTAGGTCTACTCTCTCCTCGTAGCCAGCCACACGCTTCCTTCGTTCGACTCAAAATCTATTGTGGATACTTGCTCATGACTCTTTCTCACTAGGCCCTCTGTTTCAGGTGTCATCATCTGGGAACGTCGAATCTGACGCACTCTTATTGGAGCAACCAGCCACGACCCAGCTAAGCCACCTAGTGTGCCCTGGAAACTTGTTGCCCGCATACCTGAACTCAATCCTTCGGGGCAGCATTGGGATAAGGCGTCTACTAGTCACGCA